ATGTGCCTACTACACCAGGTGCCATAGCAGGTGTGGTGTGGGAAATAGAGAACAGAGCAACAAGAAAGTATGCAGCTAGGCAGAGGGCAGAAGAGAGCCCCAGGGCAAGCAGTGTCCATCCTCACGGTCTGAGCCCAGAGCCTCAGCATATAATAAAAAGACCAATCAAACCCACAGTTGTGAGGCCTGAGGTGTGGCTCAAGCTGTAGAACGCCTGCCTGAAAAGTGTGAGGCCCTGAGTTCAAATTCCAGTCCATAAACAACAACAAACACAGCTGTGTGTCAAGTCATTTCAGCCTCAGTTCAGGGAAGCACAGCAGGGTAGGACAATGAGGACATGACAAGTCACTGGCATTCCCAGATTTCTGTAGATGTGTTTTTCAAAGAGCCCAGTTTTTTTCCCACTTCATTTTATTGTTTGGGTTCTCAGCATCAGTCCATAACTGATGCAGTGAGAGAAGGCATCACGTAGGACTGCACCACAGGCTTCTCTGCCTTCCTTCAAGCTCTTCACCAACCAGCTCATGAACAGTAAGTAGTTTTGAAGGTTTTGGGGGCACCAAACCCCTTCTTTCAAAATTGCCACAAATAAAGTGGCAGAATCAGAAGGTAGCCTGAGATCTGGAGCCTCAGCTCTCTCCACCCTTCCCCTCTCAGCAACTGCTGTTTCTCAGCCTCAGTTTCCTCATCTGTAAGACAGGAGTTATCAGAGTGTCCCAAGGCCTGGGAAGAATAAACAAAGACAGGGGCTAGGAGAGCTTAGGGTAGGCAGGGTATGATGTTCAAAAGTCTTAGCACTATAAAAAGTAGGACAACACATGGCTTTCCTGGGTAGAGTGGGAGGGAGATTCCAATCTTCCCTATGCCAGGGTGAGGTTTTCACACATATGCGAGGTCAGGGGCCAGGTTCTTCCTGCTCTCAGAGACTCTGATGGTAAGTTCCATAAAGTTGTGCAATCTCTGAGCCTTGGGCCCACCAAGGTTTAAACCTGCCTTCCTCAAGGTCTTTTGCCTGTCTGCCATTCAAGCAGCTCCAGGAATTCTCAGATGCAATAAAATAAAGGGGACAAAAAAGGATCCTCTTTGCTGGGGCAGGACGGCCGAGGAAGCACAACATATAACCCCACAGAGAGACAGAGCTGTTGTCAAGACCTGCCTACCCACCAGACTAGAGAGACCTGGTTCCCCATGTGCATCTAGGGCCAAGGAAACACCATCTCTTGAGCTTTTCACAGATGAGAAAGTCATTCAGGACTGGAGGGACAGAATCACTCCACCCGATGGACAGACTCTGGGAGCAGTAAGCACTTATGGAGCACAGGTCCGCACCTATGATTCACACTTTCGCAGCCCTAGGTAAAGGGGATTCCCAGGGCTTACACCCGAGTAGAGGTTCTTCCCACTGTACACCCTCCTGAGTTGCAGGACCCCAAACATCCAGGCCTAGTCTCACAGGTTCTGGGCCTCATGGTTACTTTCCAGGTCCTGTGGTCTGGTCACAGGCTCCAGACACTAAGGGGACCCTAACCTAGCCAGGGTCATCTAACCACTCAAGAGGGGCTCCCTGGTCAGGCCAGAAAGGCCCCTATCGCAGCCAGCAGGAAAAACAGGGCTGACAGGACCCCGCAATGTAACTTCTCTCGCGCAGCCTAAGGCGATCAGGAGGAGGAAGTATGGGATGGCAGGGGCACACAGGATGCCCCGTGCGCGTCACTCCCGGAGCCGCCGCGGGCAGCTCCGGGCTACTGGAGACGGCGCCCCCGCGACACACGTCCCCGTGCAAAGGGCCAGCGCTTAGCCCGGGAGAAGAGGGCACTCAAGGACAGGAAGACACTAAGGGCCGCCTGCGTCCGAGGCACCGGAGCCGGCCTCGACTGACCCGCCCGCAACACCAGGCCCCGCGGGCCCTTACAGCCCGTGCCCGCCGGCCAACTGTCCCCGGCTGGGCGCCGGGGGTCGGGGCCGTTGTCCCTCACGCCGAGTCCGGGCCGCCCGTCAGCCAGTGGGACTTACCTCCGCGAGCCGGCGGCGCCTCGTCAGCGCCCGCGACGGGGCGGAGCGCGGCCCCTCGGTCGGCTGACCCACAACTTCTACCCGGAGGGCGACGCAGCACCCTTCGCCGCCGGCTGCGCTACTCGGACGGCCTCTCGCGCCTCAGCCGCGGAGCGCCCTGCCCGGCCGCCTTACGCCACCTCTGTAGTGCCCACCCGTGCAGTCCGACCGACCGGCCCGCCTTACGCCGCCTCCGTAGCGTGGCGCCCGGCCGGGGCCCGCGGCTACGGCGCGTCAGGGGCGCACGCGGCGCTGGGAATCGCGCCGGGACTACAGCTCCCGTTGGGCAGCGCGGCGCTGCGCGAGGCTCGCCGGGAATTGTAGTCCCCGGGCGGCACCGTCCTACACTCTGGCCCGACCTCGCTGCTGGAGATACCCGGTGCCAGGTTAACCCGAGGAGAGCGGGGGAGGGGAGGGGGGGTGCCGGGAAGAGTCTGGACTACAGTTCCCAGGATATCCTGCTAGGGACACGGGGGCGGGGCGCCCAGCAGCGTCGGTGCGGGCGAGAACAGGGAGAATCGAGGGCTCAGGCGATAGGTTGCCCCTTTCGTGGTCTGGGGTCGGCCTATCCCCATCGACTCCCTGACTGGAGGCTCTCCGCTATCCCAGGTCCCTCGACGATGTCTGACTCCGCTTCCTCGTGGCCCCTCTGGCCTAGCGGTCGTGCTACACCGGCCTGGGTCCCTCGTTGCTCAGGTGTCACTTGGGCACCTAACTTCTTTGGGTCCCCGTTTTCTCTTGCCGAGGAAACCTGTCATGGAACTGGGCTACTCTCCCAGGCTGAGTGCCGTTCACGACGGAACCCTCGGACTTCTTTTAGGGCCCCTTGAGATCACTCACACCCAGAGCTCTCTACGCTTGCCGTGTTCTCTGCCAGTCTTTAAAAGCCCAGGAGGCCACAGAGCAGAGGCTGTAGAGGAAGCGGTGGTGGGGGGTGGGGAGCCGGCTATGCAGGGACTCAGGATAAACTGGTTGGTTGTGGTCTCTGTGGCAATAGGGAACTGGGTTTTACCAGTAAGAGGTTGGGGGAAGTTGCTCCAGGACTTAGAAGGGCTGAGCTTGGCTCAGTAGGGCCTACAGGGCTAGGGCTGTGCTCCTGGGAGGACATTCATGTTCCAAGAGAACCAGTAGGCTAAATGGACCATTGTACTCTGAATGCTGTGTGGTGACTTCTATTCCTACGTGGAGGATCTTTTTGGCAGGACAGAAGATGGCTTCCTAAGAAACCTGAGGAGTCAAGATTTATTTGTTCAGGGGGCCTTTGAGTAGAGGCCCATCCCCCTCCGTGGAACACCACCCCAGGCCAGCTGCCATTCTCTGGGAAAGGGTAGGCAGTCCAGGCCAGTAGGCCTGGGGACTGTATGGCTGCATTGTGTGTCAGCACCCCTAAGCTTCTAGGTCTTCTAACCCCCCCCCACTCAAATAAGAGTTGCTGCCTCTTGATAAGTGTGGCCTCTGTATTAGAGGACCCAGTAAGGGTGAACTTAGCAACCTCAAGTCTCCTTCTCTCCCAGCCTTGCCTAGGTGCCACCTATGGTGTCTGTGATGTCAGGATAGAATAGTGCATGGCTCTGTGACCTCCCAGCCAGAAAAGCAGCTGAAGTTGAGCCTGTTGATTTGGTGGCTGAGGCTCCCACTTGCTTACTGCAGAGCTGCCAACCCCATAGCCAATTTGCTGAGCTATGCCCTGAAGGAAAGTGAAGGGAAGAAGCAAGGTCTGTCATCATGGGGGAGCAACCCCATTCATCCAGTAGAGAGCCTAGGAGTTGCTGAGAAGGGAGTTGGAGTGGACAAGGGATGGGGTCTTTCCAATACCTCTGGTCACCCTGTAATCATTCCAAGTGTTTTGAGGCACCACATTGGGCTGAATACACAGTAAAAGAGACTGTATTATCCAGAACATCGACTGAGCATTGTTCTGTGGTAGTAGAGTACTGGCCAGAAACACAATCCTGAGAAGAGGTCAGACCCAAGTCACTTCCACAAGATATCCTGGAGGGGTGGGGGCAGATGTTTTTTGGCTCAGTGGCACTGACTCTTCCTTGAGCAAAAGGGGCCCAACACTTTTCTAGGCTTTGGGGACACAGCCGTCATGGAGCCAAGATTCTCATGGCATGCAACCTCATAGGAAGAGTAAATGGATGAGGTTCCTGTCCACATTCTTGCCTTCCTCTGGGTCTCCTCAAGTTCTCTGAGCTGCCAGCAGGTACAGGGGGCTGTGGACCATCTATCCAGGGGATGACACCTTCCTGGGCTGGCCACCAGGGGGTCTTCCTTCTCATATTTGCTTGGCCTTTTTTGTGTTCTTCCATCAGCTAGAATTGACCAAGACTGTGAGGGTTACAGAAGGAGTGCTGTACTATGTCAGGAGCCAATCAGACAAAATCTACCTTTGGAGGGCAGACTGCTTGCTGGAGGCTTGAGTATTGGTAAGCCCTGTGGCCAGGACACGGCACCGTCAAGAGGTGGAGGGTCCCTGCAAGGAGGGAACCTCTGAGAACATCCTCCAGGCACACTCCACCAGCAGCCTGCTCCTGCCCACCTGCAAGAAGGCACAAGCAACCTTTCCTGGAATGTTTCTGATAGATATATTTTCATCTTCCTTAGGCCAGAGACCCCAGAGGGCCTGCACAGTGCCCTCAGCATTCCCACCTAATGGGGCTGACTGGACTGTGGACAGGACTTAAGTGCTTTAGAGGAAATTTACTACACAGGAGCCAGAGATTGGGGGGATGGTGGTTCAAGGCCAGCATGAACAAAATGTGGTGATAACCCCATCTTATCGAATGAAGACTGGTTGTGTGGCGTCCACGTGTCATCCCAGCTAAGCAGGAAGCATAAATAGGAGGATCACAGCCAGCCTGGGCATAAAGCGAGACTGTATCCCCAAAATAACTAAAGCGAAAAGGGCTGGAGGTGTGATTCAGGTGGTAAAGACCTTGCTTAGCAAGTACAAGGCCCTGAGTTCAATATCCTAGTACCACTTAAAAAAAAAAAAGTGGAAAGTAAACTGGGGAGCCACCAGGCCATGGTGGGGCTCCCATTCTTGCTTCCAGCTTCTCCTGGACAGAGCCTGGGTAGGTGGCAGGGCAGGTCATGCCTCTGCAGGCAGAAACTCAATCTCAGACATATGGATGCCTCCAAATTTCTTCCTCAGTTTCATCCATCAACTGACCAGGGCTCCTGGACTAAACCCTGGTGACTGGACCCCTCTACTGACTGCCTCCTTTGCTGAGGACAAGGCCTTGCTGCAGGCCAAGCTGTGTTTCCCTCCAGTCAATCAGCTCTGGGCAGTAGCTGGGGTGGAGTGGTCAGATCTGAGTCCTCAGCCTCCCTGGGCCTGTCTGAAAATAAATGGTAAGCAGGAAGCTCTTTGTAAGGGGCACAGGAGAGCCACAGGTACATGGTTTGCTGCACCACAGATGCCTCCTTAGAACTGCTGTATCCCCATGACTTCTGAACTCCCTTCAGAAGCCCTTGGCCCTTCTTTTGAACCTTCTTTGAGCCTTCCCTCCTATCACCCTGAGAACACGGTGGCTCTTCCCAGATATGGATGTGTGTCTCAGGGTAGGATCACTGTGCCCAAGATTTGTGATACTTGCACACACCTACAGCTGCCCCTCAATGCTGCCTCAGACAAGGCTCACTGTGGCTCTCCTAGGCTGCACTCAGAGTTCTACCAGGATATGAGGGTTACTGGAGATCACCAGGCCTTGCCGTTGAGAATGTCCCTTTGCAGAGCTGCATAACTTCAGGATCCAGACCAGGAAGTCCAGGAAGTGGCTGAGCTCCTTTGGTAGTGTGCCTTGGTGGTGCAGTCCTTGGGCCTTAGGTCTCCTGTGGTTGGAGCTCAGATGACCAATGCCCCTAGACAATGGGCCAGGCCTATGCCCACGCCACCCCACTGTCCCTGTGGAGGAAGAAGCTGGCCTCTGTGTGCAGTAACAGCTTTAATCTGTGGTGGCCAACATGTCAGACAGGACCCTACTGACCTCCCACCATCTTGCACTCAGGCAGGAAGCACCCCTTCTCAGGAAGCTGAAGCAGGTGCCATGAGCAAGTTGGTGGTTGGTGTTTCCCAGTGTCTCCTGAAGACCCGTGTGTATGGTCACTATTGCAGAGCAGTCAGCAGGGACAGGCCAGAAGCCCATGTCACAGGGCTGGGACCTGGGCACAGAAAGGCAGGGCTCCAGTATTTATATATTATACATATGTATATACATATATATATATATATATATATTTCACTTGTATACACAGTTTTCTCTCTGGAAAGTATTAAAAAATTGATCAACCTTCAATCTATAAAAAATACCTACTCTACATGATAGAAAAATCTCTCCTCCAAGTTTACACTGATTTACACCCAAGGCTTTCCCCAGAATGTACAATACGAGGCAACATCTTAAATTGTAGTGTAGAAGGTGGGTCGGGAGTGGGTGAAGTGATGCAGGGCAGCATGTATGGACACAAACACACGTATTCTCTCACTGTGTGCACACTCATGCACGCGCACACTCGCACAGAGTGGGTGGTGAAGTCTGCAGCAGGGTCTTAGCCCACCCAGAGGCTCCTGGCCAGTGCCCAGGCTAGGCAGGCACAGCAGCCTTTGGGTGACGCCATTGTGGGGCAGTGCAGAGGCAGCAAGGCTACCTCTGCTCCTGGATCTGGGTAAAGCCTGCTGGGTCTATGTAGAGCCTGCCCAGTCTGTCTTCCTGCAAAACACACCCTCAGGACATGCAGCTATTTTGAATCAGATGCCCAGAAAAAAACTTGGTTCCAGAGGCCTGGGAAGTATGGACTACACCCTGGGCAGTGACAAGCACTGTGCACCACCTAAACCATAGGAGGCCAGGCAGGCCACACCTGTGGAAAAGCAGCACCTGCACCTGGAGGCAGAGGGGCCGGTAGTGTCCACCCATCCAGGGAGTAAGTTCCACACAGTCAGCATCTCAAGTCCTTTGTTCAAAGAAAAGGGAACTGATGGTCTCCTGCCCCAGCCCCCAACAGAAGGGTCAAGCCCCTGAGGGTACTGCAGTGAGGATCACACCATGAGAATGGCTGCGTGGCTTAGAGGCCCTGCATCTGAAGCTGGACCAAAGGCCACCTGGTTGGATGACAGCCTGAATGGCTCAGGGAGAGCTGGGGCCTGCAGTGCCAAGCTAGACCCCACATGCACCAGCTTTGCCTCCTGTCCTACCTGCACCGCCGCATGACAAGGGTCCGGGGTTTACACTCTATCTGGGAGTGGCCAGGCATGGGTGGTGCTGTGTCAGGGAGCCTGAGTGGGAAACTGCAGTCTTGGTGGGGACCTGTTTTCTCCCTCTTCCCAACAGGGCTACATGTTGGAAGAGGGTGTCCCATGGAGGGGCCAGAGGGTAGCTCATCCAAGCCTGAGACTGCACACAGGCTTGAGAACCTGTCATGGCTGAGCATATTGTAGGTGTTGTTGGCTGGGACACTCAGGGCAGGAGGCCCTGCCTCCCTGAAGGTCAGAGCCGATAGAAGACCTAGCCTCACTCCTTTCCTGCTGTGGCTCCCCTTTTCCCTTCTAACTGCCCTCTGCAGCCTCACGTCTTCATTCACCCAGTGTAGCTGCACAAAACCCTGCACACCCTGGGCTTGGTCAGCTATGGGACCTGCTGGTCTTGGCTCCTTGTGGTGAGACAGGGCCACTCTGGGGTGCTGGTGGAGTCTTGGACCAGCCCAGGCTGGGCTTTGCTGCCCTACTTGACCTCCAGGATGGATGGGTTGGTCTCCATAATGGCCACAATGATCCTGTCAATGTAGTCCTGCAGGCGGAAGTTGATCTCTTCCTGCTTCTGAATTGCTTCCATGAGCTGTAGGAAAGCAAGGGGTCAGCATGGAGAGAGAAAGGGGTTTGAGGCTGGAATGGGGTTTATAGACTTCGGTGTAAACCAGTAGGGCATGTTACCTCGTCACGGGAGACAGAGCTGATCTCTGCGGCCAGAGACTCAGAGAAGGCCGTGGAGAAGAGGCTCTTCGCGCCCTGGATACTGAGGGTGATGATCTGCCCATTCAGTTCGTCATTCTGCTCCTTCAGGTTGCGGTTGTCCTGGAGGATATGGTAGTGTCACACTGGGCCGTGGCCCCTGCTGGTGCCTGAACTAGGATAAGAACTTGCCTGAGAGTACCCCTAGCCCAGTGCCCCCTCCCATGCCAGCCTTCCAGAAGCTTCTGCTGGGTTGGATGAGAAGTGCTGAGCCACACCTGCTTGAGTCTGCGAACCTCCTGCTCCAGCTCGCTCTCCCGGGCACGGCTGTTGTACTCCTGCAGGCCCAGGCTGCTGCTGCGACCCCGCCTCTGCTCCACTTCCAGCCTGAGCAGCTGCAAGTGCTCCAGCTGCTTGCGGAGGTCCTCAATCAGCTGTGAGGCAACCATAGGGTGGGTACCTACTAGCTGACCTGGTCACCCTCTCCTGGGAGGATACCAGCCCATATTCTAGGACATCACTGGGCATCAGTGGCCCTGCCCTCAGTGGCAGTTAAAAGCTGTGCATCCAGGAAACAAAAGACACCTCTGGCCTCCCCTCAGAAGCAGGCTGTATCCGAATGGGTGGGAGTGCAGGGAGAGGCAGTTGGGTCTGCTTACCTCCTGGGTCGCCTCCTTGTCCCTTTGGAACTGATGCCGTTCATGGCTCAGCTTGTCCCCCATCTTCCTCTTGTTTTCCTGCTCTTCATTGAGCCGCAGCATCAACTCTTCAATCTCATCCAGCAACTTCTGCTTTTCCTGCAAAAAAAAAAAAAAAAAAGAGAGAGAGAGAGAATGGTGTGGACATGTGGTGCCGCCTTGACCATGGAAGCAACCTGACTCAGCAGCCTTCCCTCCAGACGATCTCCCAGTTGACCGGCATAAACACAGTAGCCCTGGTCCTTGGACCACAGTGAGTCTGTGCCTGTGCTTTCCTATCAAGGCTGCCTTGCCTTGTGGCCAAGGAACACATTTCTCAAGCAGGAGAAATGCTTGAGGAATCAGGCTGCTGGCAGTTCCAGCCTGATTCCTTTAGCTCATAGGAGCTGGAGCCCATGTAGTCTTGGAATATCTTTGCTTTGGAGCTTCCCAAACGGCACTTGGAAAAGGAACCTCCTCGTTCCTAAGAGGGAAGGCCTCTTAGTGAGCGGCTGAGACACAAAGCTCATGGTATGCCTCTACCTGCAGGACCAGGGTCTCTACAGTCTGCCCTTAGAGGATGTGTTCCCTGGTTCCAATCTCAGCAAGTGCCTCTAAGCCCTGTGGATGATGAGTATGTGGGAAAGCTGGAGGCTGGGTGGGGCCAGCAGGGGCATGGCTCCTTCTCACCTGAGTCCAACAGAGCCCAGTGTTATCAGCCTGTTCTTGAGAAAGCTGCCCTGCTCTAGAGGCCCCAATGCATGTCCTGGCTTCCCCCACTAGTATGAAATGCATAGGGGAGAAGAAAGTTCTTGCTATTGGTGCCCACAACAGGATCTGTCCTTCCCCCAACACACGCTGATGCCCTGAGGCTCACCTCCTCCAGGCGCTCTATGTTGGCCTTCAGACAGGGTGTGCAGGAGCGTAGCTCGCTATTCTCCTCATCCAGCTGGTGCAGTCTAGGTACAAGAAAATGTACCTCACAGAGCTCTGGAGGAACCCCCACTGGGAGCTGCTCTGTGACCCAAAGATGCCACAGCCAGTCCTCACCCCACTCAAGTGCTCTAGGCCAAAGCTTTTCTGTAACTCATGACAGCTTTTAAATGCACTTTGGGTTTAGAAATGACTTCAGGTGTATAGGAAAGTTGCACACAGTGTAGGGTCCACATGGGCCTAACTCTGTTCTGAATTCTTCTTGTGTTGCTGTGGTACACCAACATCCACACCCAGCTAGGCCGTACTAATACACAAAGCAACACACCTCCAAGGACCAGGACCCCATCGAGGGGCCCCATGGCATAAGCTTCATGTCTCCCTTGTCCCCTGGTCTGTGAGTCTCCTGGACCGTCCTTCCTTGTGACCTAGGTAGTGTTGAGAGGTCCTAGCCATGTACTGTGTAGATGGTGCCTCATATTGAGCTGTCTGTGTCTCCTCATGGATACAGTGGGATGGTGAGTGTGATGAACCCCTACCATGGTAGGGCCTTCTCAGCACACACTTACTCCCACAGGACTTCCAGGTCACCCAGTGAAAGTGGGTCTGCCAGGTGTCCCCCTGTCCAGTCACTACCTCTCGCCCACTGTCTCAGGAATCTGGTCCCTGAGTCTGCCCCCCCCCGAGGAGGGATCCTGCACCACCTCCTGGAGGGATGACTGAAGATCCTGTTTGGAATTTCTCTGAGAGGGAGGCAGTTGTCTTCTCCATCTATGCATTGGTTGATTGCCTGTGTTGAGTCCTGTGATAAGGACTCCTAAATAGTTAGTTTATGTCGTGGTTATGCTCCCCTGGGATCCTTACCACTCTGGCTCCCAGACTGTCCAACTCTGGCAACTAGGGGGCCCTTTCAGTTGGGCCCAGTGTCTCTTTGACATCAGTGTGTGTACATTCCAGTTATCCGGTTTCCCTTGCAGTCTGACTATTAATGAATCAAATATCCACAGATTCAATTCCAAAGGAACACAAAAGGACTTATCAAAGTCTCTCTCAAATAAAAAAATCTTTTTTAGGATGTGGCTATGTTCATGCTGGCCTTGAGCTCCTAGGCTGGGACTACAGACACAGGCTACCATGCCTGGCTAAGACTGCTGTGTTGATAGGTGCATGGAAGGTATGGATCTGCAAAAACTAAATAATGTAGGGTAGGTCTCTGGATGCTGGTCTCAGGAACTATAGAAGAGTTTTGTGGTTCTCTTCCTACAGCTGCTTCTTTTTCTATAATTAAACTTCTACCTAGTGGCTGTGCCTTCTGGGGTGTGCAGGGTTTCTCCTGTCTGTCCAGCACCTCGCCCACCTGGCCTGCAGGTTCTCAATCTCAATGCTCTTCTCACGCTCCATCTTGCACAGGAGCTCCTTCTGCTTCCTGGCCTCTTCCAGGACCATCTCCTGGGCTCTCAGCTCCTGCTCCTTCAGCTGTTCCTCCAGGGCATTGGCTCTAAAGACAAGGTTGGGGGCAGAAGGGCAAGGGATAAACAGGTCTGCAAGACCCAAGAGATGTTTGTTCCCAGGCATTGTGTACTGACAATGGCAGCTGCTCCATAGGCCACTATGTAGAAGCTGAGTTGGTCCAGACGCATAAGCCTTGAGGAGGAACCAAACAGCACTGGGTCCAAGGGCACCACATTCTGCAGAAACTGAATGTGACCACCAAACAGCAATCCCACAGCATGCTGCGCTTGTGGCAAGACTTCCACACGCCATCGCCAACTCTGCTAGGCTCAGGCCGCTGGAAGCTGGGCACATGTGGGCCCCAGAGACTGTGCTGGAGTCATAGTCAGAGGAAGGAGGTCTACTGTGCACCTAGACTCCTCCAGGATTACCTGGAGACCAGCCTCATTCATGTCACCCTGGCCCCTTCATGGGCCACCAGGCTACCCATAGGACAGAGGACTGGTCACCCCAGACATAAGTGCTGTAGTCTTGCCCTCAACTGCAACAAAGCTATGGCCCCAGCCCTGTCTACACGGCTTCCTGGTTCCTCTTTGGTGCATGAGATGACCAGAGAGCACAGGACAGCTTGTGACATACGAGAAGAAATACATCACACAGGATCCAGCAGGGGGAAGCCTCATGTCTAATTAGGAAATCAGAGTGGCATGTTCTAAAAGGAATAGCTAAAATATAATGCTTAGAAATAAAACCATGAGGACTGGGGGTGGGGCTTAGTGATAGAGCACCTGGTCAGCATATACAAGGCACTGGGTTCTAATTCCAGAAGAGAGGATTGGAAAAGAAGGGAAATTAAAAATTAAGTTTTTTTTTTTTTAAAGGCCAATTCTATTTTATTGGTTTTGACAGTCTAGAGGACTCACCCAGAAAAGGCTTTTGTTGTTGTTGTTGTTGTTTGTTTGCTTTATTTTTGCTGTACTGGGGTTTGAACTCAGGGCCTACATCCTGAGCCACACCAGCAAACCCTCCGCCCTTTTTTAATGGATTTTTCAAGATAGGGTCTCTTGAACTATTTGCACGGGTTGTCTTCAAACCACAATCCTCCTGATCTCTGCCTCCTGAGTAGTCTAGGATTACAGGTTTGAGCCACTGGTGCCCAGCTTAGAAAATTTTTTTTAAATTCAACAGAAGAGTTGACAGAGAAAACTGAAGATATTACATTTTAAAAAAAGGGTGGGGGGGGGCAAAGCTTGGAGTGTGTAACTCATGCCTGTAATCCCAACATGGGAAGCATAAATAGGAGGATTGCAGGCCAGACCAGCCTGGCAAAAATGCAAGATCCTATCTGAAAAACAAATGAAGCAAAAAAGGGCTGGGGAATGGTTCAAATGATAGGGCATCTGCCTACAAGCAAAGTCTTGAGTTCAAACCCCAGTACTGCTAAAACATGAAGACAGACCAGAAAAGGAAGAGGCTGCATAGAGAGGATTCCCAAAATCCTTCTGAAGTTTAAGGACAGGCTTCCCAGAGTCACAGGCTGGAAACCAAACATTCAGCATGTCAAGATATCCAGGGTGAGAAACAGGTCACACTACAGGCAGGGTAGGGTGCAGTGAGCATATTTTCAAATATGCAGGTCTTGAAGAACCTCAATCCTGTGCACCTCAGAAAATGAGGTCATAGAGAAAGAAAACATGGTATAATCCAGACAACAAGCAGCAAGTCCAAGAGCAAGCATACAGAATTCTAATACGATAAAAAAGAAGCCATGTGACAGGGCATGAGAGCACCCGGCTCAAAGGCAGCCTGGTGCCTGGAAATGGGAAGCACCATCAAAAGGCTACCTAGCACACTGTCCCAGAGCTGAGGTGAGCAAGGTGGAGTCAGGTGGTCTGGTGCCTGGAAAGGCCCATTAGATCAAGTCAGAACCTCCACAGTCAGCTCAGGATAGAACTCTCTCAGGAGATCCAACATGCACCTAATGCACGGAAACCAAAGCCCCTCCAGGAGCACACTGGCCCCCAGTTTGGCAGTAGAGGCTGAGACAGGCACTTCATGATGAGAGTCTTGGGTCTGCACCCACAAGAGAACTTGTTCTCGCTTTGTGGAAGTGGCGTGCAGACTGTGCCTATACCCACATGACGCATTCTGCCTATTATCAAGTGCCTGTCATCAGGAGGGCCTGGCCACAACCTGAATGCCACTGCTGCCAGCACGTTCAGAACCCTCTGCATCACTTGCTCAGGTCATGCAGGAGGAAACTGAGGCTCAGAGGGACACAGCCCTGACCTGACGCTACAGTATGGCAGAACAAGGAATTTATTTATATGTGGTTCTGGTAAGGACATGGGTTCTGAGAACAGAAACTTTCTGTAGATTCCAAAAATGTTTCTTGGGCTTCCCCACTATGCCACCCACACAAAAATATCCAGCTCCATCCAGCTTGCCAATACCCTGATCCAGCTCGTCTCACTTTACATGAGAAACATGAGGGCAAACCTGGCAGGCTCTGGCGTAAGAACTCTTAAGAGCTACACAGTATCCAGAGGAAACTCTGCAACAGGAGTGGGCAACAGCTGTGCTTTGTTTCCTCTGTAGCGCCTTGCCCAGCTGAGATTAGGCTGTACAGACTATCTTTCTGCTTAGTTTGCTTCTCTGCCACTAAGACACTCCTGTGTGCTCGAGTCCTCGGGTGGGCTATACCCCTGGCACAGACAGCTCCCTTACTGTTCCTCCAATGCACAGCTCTGTACTTAGCCCTAAAGTGCCCTACACAATCATCTAAGCTCCCATGCCTCAGTTTCCTCATCTGTGAAATGGAGACAGCATCAGCAAGGGTGACTGAGATAGTGCAGGTGAGGTTAGAGTGGAGCAAGGAACTCCTTCTAGGGACCGGTGTCATGGTGGGGATATTTCCTCAGGGCGGGTTCTCAGAAATGGGATCAACAGTGAGAGGACCCCGATACTGACTGTTAACTGGTGGACTCTGGGCCAGCCTTACAAGGACTCCCAAGTTCTCCAGAAAACTGACCCACAGAGGCTCTAGGCGTACCCTTGGCATGACAAGAAAAACAGTATGCCTTTGCAGGTTTATTTTGAATCCAAGACATTGTGCAGCACAAAGTAAACCACAGAGCCACAGACCCTACCCCTCCTTGTGGTTTTAATCTGTACTTTCCCAGTTGTTCCTGATGGGCATCACATTGCATGTTCGTGGCTGTTAGCCCTCTTCTACATGGTATAGGAGAGTGGCAGAATAGCTTGCTCCCCTAGAGACCTATTGTACCTCCAGGAGAGACTACTCGAGTTAGAGCCTGCAATGTCCCTAGAGCCTTTCTCAGCCATCCACTCCCTGCATGAGCCAGCTCAATGAGGCAGACAGATTCATAGGGCATGAGTGGTGCTGTGGTGGCTGCAGGAAATCCCAGGCCACAGGCCATGCTCACCTGTGCACCAGCTGGAGGTTCTCCTGCCTCAGTCGGCCATGCTGCTCCCCGGCAGCCACACTTTCCTTTTCCAGCTCTGACACGCGCCTCTCCAGGAAGATGACCTAGGTAATGAGACAGTGGCTTGAGGAGTAAGTAGAAAGAGGCAAGACAGTCCACGCTCCCAAGGGAACATCTGGGAGGTATACAGGGGCTTCAAACCCACCCAGCTGAGCTGGAGTTGGGTCCAACTCGTCCTTTGAGTCTGTCCCATAAACACACTGCAATGCAGGTCACCAAGGAGTTACTGTCACTCAATAGCACAAAGGCAGGTATCACTGGGAGCTTGAGGCCTACAGGGGTCCAAGAGCACCCTTGTGACTGGCTCATGCAGTAATGTGTCTCAGTACCCCATCACACAAATTGGCCCCCCTATTCTGCCAGATACTCACAGAGGAGTCTCAGTCTCTCTCTTCCTCAGGGAGCTCACAACATGAGAGAAAGACGCTTGCACATGTAGGAGCAAGCAAAGGAAGGACTCAGCCTCAGTCTGCAGAGTGGGAGATGCTAAAGATGCCATGGAAAAGGGGATGCAGTGGAAATGAGGTGTGTGCAGGGGGAGGCAAGGTGGGTGGCAGGGGGAGGAGAGGATGGTGCAAAGGAGTGCAAAGTGGAGTGTATAGTAGGTGAGGAGGGTGCAAAGGAGGTGAAGAAGACCGCAGAGGAAGTGCAATGGGGAACAGGGAGGTGAGATGGGTGCAGAGGAGGTAAGGTGGGTACAGGGGGAGGTGAGGTGGGTACAGAGGAGATGAGGTGAATGTAGAGAAGGTGAGGTGAGTGCAGGGGGAAGCAAGGTGGAATGTAGGGGAGGTGAGGGATAGAGGAGGTGAGGTAAATGCAAAGCAGGCATGGTGGAGTGCAAAGGAGTATGGGGGAGGTGAGGTGGAGTGCAGGGGGAGGTGAGATAGGTGCAGAGAAGGTGAGGTGGGTGCAGGGGGAAGTGAGGTGGGTGCAGAGGAGGTGAAGTGGTATAGAGGAGGAGAGGTGGGTGCAGAGGAGTTGAGGTGAGTGCAGGGGAGGTGAGATGGGTGCAGAGGAGGTGAGGAGATGAAGAGGGTGCAGAGGAAGTAAGGATGATACAGAGGAGGTAAGGTGGCTGCAGGGGGAAGTGAGGTGGGTGCAAAGGAGATGAGGTGGGTGCAAGAGGAGATGAGGCAGGTGCAGGGGAACTAGATGAAGGTGTTGCTGCCATCCTCTCCAAGGCTCAGGCTGGTCCTTGGGTCCTGACCACAGCGAGGCTCACTGCTAGGCTGCTGGAGTACACTCCAGACAAGCCCCCAAGGAAACACCCATTCCAGATGTTTTAGCTCTGTGGCCATTTCAGCCTGTCCACCACTCCCCAAGCATCCTGGTCCTGCTTCCATGGCCCTGGTGAACTGAGTTTCCAGTGTCCCCTTGATGCTGCCCTCCTGAACCGACTCACAGGTATATGCAGGCATCCAGGTCATGCCTGATTTTCAGCATCATAGTCAATGGCTCCTACTGCTCAGTCCCATTTCTTTGTTTAGCTGCCCCTTTTACCCCATGGCCACTAGTACTTGCTGAGGAATATCAGGGCTGGATAGAATCTAATTAGCACTGGATGACGCCATTATCACCTGAGCTGTCCTGAAAAATGCTGTTTTTTTTTTTTTTTGCATAGTAATGGGGTTTGAATTCAGGGCCATTCCACAAGCCCATTTTTTTGTGAAGGGTTTTTTTGAGACAGGAAGTATTTGCCTCAGGCTGGCTTCACACCACGATGCTCCTGATCTCTGCCTCCTGAGTAGCTATGATTACAGGGATCTCTGCCTCCTGAATAGCTAGGATTACAGACATGAGCCAATGGTGCCCGGCTCTTACAGTGCTTTTCTATTGCTAGGACAAGGCTAGCTGTGCCCAACTACTGCCCAGTACTTCAAAGCAGCCATAGCACATGAGGGAAAGGTCCTCAGACCCTGGTGACATTCCAACCTTACTGCCAAATCACTGATTCCTCACCCTCAGCCCCCAGTGCCCAGAGCCTACCTTGTCAGCAATGTCTTCCTCTGGGCCTTCCACAGGCTCTGGGGGAGGATCCTCCAGAGCCTCCATGGTCAGGGCTCCTGATTGGTGCAGATACCTATAGAAAAAGAGTTAAAGCAGAGGAAAAACCAAATGACAAGATCTTCAAACACCAGCACTTCCAAGTCCCTCTGAAAGACAGCAGCATCACAAGCCATGGGCCCTCCCCACTCCTGGGGGCCAGTGGTCTCCTGATCAAAGCACCAAATGAAGGGGGTTCCCTGGGCCTATCATTTTTACCAAGGGCCTGGGAATGAGTAGGTTAACTCTGGTCTCAGAGTCTTCTCAGTGCTCTTTGGAGCCTGACCAAGCACAACCTCTCTCCCTGCCAGCTAATGGGACAAGGGTACTTTGTACTTGGTGCAATAAAACACATCATTCCTCACTATGATAGGAAATGATCTTGAATCCACTAGAGGTCCATCAAACATTAATTCTTGACTCCTGTACAGGATACCTATATACATTCTGTTTTTTGGAGACAGGGTCTCCAAAGGCTGGCCTCGAACTCATGATCCTCTAGTCTCAATTTCCCAAGAGAAAAGCACAGGTGTGTGCCATTTGGTTTGACAAGTGTATTCCCTGTAGACCCTAGAAGCCCCATTCAGGTCATACCTGGGGTCCCTGGGAAGCACCCAAACCACAGGCGTCCTCTCTGGCACCAATGCCAATACAGTGCTGATGCACCCAGGACTCAGATAGACACCTGATCCTGTGACCCTGTGTAGCTCCAAGCTCCACTATAACTTGATCAGAGGCTACTCCCCAGTTGTTGGTGCCTTAGCAAGTGCCCAGTGAACACTTGGCTTGTGGTTCAAACTAACCTCCTTAATTGTGGTGAGTCTATATCAATACTAATTTAGCAATGGTACCTTCAGAGCATTTGTGCAGCTGTGCTAGCAGTGACCCTAAGACCCTCAAAACTGAGCCAGGCTCCAAATTTATGGCCTGATGCTCAGAGGTGAAAGCATTCGCCTTCTCTGAGTCTTCCTCTCCTATAAAATGAGAAACTGTCTACAGACAAGTATGAAGTTTAGACAAGGGAATGTTTATAAACAGCACTGCTAAGGATACAGCACAGAGTGAGAATTCAACTGAATTTTAATGATAGTTACACTGAAAGTACACTTCATCTTATCAGGGAATAAAGCTGTTTCCTTTTTAGCACTGACTAAGCCTGTACGTTTCCTTGTTTTCCATAAATGTTGTAAGAGAAAAAGAAAGGCAGGTGCCTTGGCTACTGGGACCACAAACCCATGCACACAAACTAAGGGCACCATGTGTTTCCATAGCTTGCTCTAGGCTTCTGAGACTCTCAAGAAGGGTGCTGATGGACACCATGTTCTCACCTAGGCACTGCTCTTTAATACCCAGAACCTCGACCTCAATTCAAAGCCACTCCCAGGGCAGGGAGTGTCCACTCTAGACCCCAGAGGCTACTATGAATATTGGCCAAGGCCTGGATCTAAACCAGTGGCAGGGAGGACACACAGTCTCTAAGCAACCTGCGGGTGGCCTTGTGTTGAGGTTGAGTGTATTCGGCATACGGAGTGGGGGGCTGCTTATTTAAACTCACCAGAAAGGGAAGATTCTTCACCCAGCTGCCCTACTCAAGAGACCCCCAGGAAAAAGGACTATGGGAAGTGCTGACCCACCCCAGATGAGGCACACGGACAAAAAGGTGCTGGGACTCCAAGACCCATCTTCCACCTAGGATGTGGGCAATGTCCTTACTGGGGGTCCCACTGGGCAGCTCTGTGCCAGGTGCCTCAGGGGAGCACCACTTATATCTCCACAGGTAGCAGGGAACAAGCTGAAACGGGTCAGGAACACAGCCAGGTCACAGACCCACAAGTAGCTACTGCAAACCCACCATCTCAGCCACAATGCACATACAAAGGGCTGAAAACTTCGGCAAAGCGAATTATGGGTTAGCTATTTTGTGTTTCATAAGAATTCTGGGAGCAGACTTAAGGGCAAAGCCACAACATATTCATATGCTAAAACTAGGAAGGGAAATGTGTACATATATGTACATAATTTATGCTCTGTAATCTGCAAAATACATCTCTGCTCTGTAACCTCACTGTAAATACCTGAAGACAGGGCTTTTTGTTTACACCAAAGGTGTCTGCAAAGAAAAAAATTAATTTTCGGAGATGTACAAAAGATCAAGCCCTTCACTGCTCAGACCTGTTGGGCCACAAGATTCTTCCCCATCCCCACCCCCAACACAAGGCATCTCTAAAACACAGTGTCTGTGTCCCAGGTGTGTAAGACTGTGAGAAGATAGCTGAGCTGGGTTTTCACCTTCCTCAGTTCCATCAGTTATTGCCTGTCTAGGGCAAAAGGCTTGGATAACTTAGGAAGATGGCCACGTCTGACCATACTGACTCTTTTTTTGGTACTGGGGTTTGAACTCAGGGCCTACACCTTGAGTCACTGCACCAGTCCTTTTTTGTGATGAGCGTTTCCAAGATATGGTCTCATGAACTATTTGCTTGGGCTAGCTTCAAACCTTGATCCTCCTGATCTTTGCCTCCTGAGTCGCTAGGATTACAGATGTGAGCCACTGGTGCCTGGCTTCATGCTGACTCTTAATGAAAGTGCAGCTGGGCTTCCTATCGTCACTAAAGTGCAGAGTTCTTCTTGAAGGGTGAACCAGAAAACTACCAGAGAAGGCGGGATGAAGACACTGGCTTCTGCTTCCTCTAGACTCCAAGCCTTGAGAAGGCCATGGGCAGTTATAGGACAAGAAGAGGAGCCAGGGAACAGAAAGACCCAGCAAGACAGCCTGAACCAGGAAAAGGCCCACTTTTTCATTTGCTCATCAAAATTAATAGAAAAAAGTACTATCAGCAAGACTCATCATAAAAAGTTAGGATCTTTAGGGATGAAGAAAACCTAAATGCTTTCAAAGAGAAAAAGTCACAAAGAAACAAAAATCAGAAAATGTTAAACCTCTTAGTAGCAACCCTAGCTGAGAGCAATGCCTCAGACACTCTAAGGAAACACATTCACAACCATACCAACCACAGGACATATGCAAAATCACTCTCAATGGCCAGGTGCAGTGGCTCACATCTGTAATCCCAGCTACTCAGGAGGCAGAGATCAAGTTCAAGGCCAGCCCTGGCAAAAAGTTATCAAGGCCATCTCAACAACAACAAAAAGCTGATGTGGTGACGTGTGCCTATAATCCCAGGTACATGAGAAGCAGAGGTAGGAGAACTGCAGACCAAGACCAACCCAGGCAAAAACTCTAGACCCTATCTGAAAAATAGAGCAAAAAAGGTCTGGGGGCATGGCTGAAGTGGCAGAGCGCCTGCCTAGCAAGCATAAGGCTGAGTTAAAACCCCTACACCACCAAAAAAAACCCCCAAACCCCCAATATTCCCAAGGTCTTGGGAATTATCTCCTGATACCTCTTTTCTCACAAAGTTACAGAAAGATGTGTTGGGCAAAAAGAGAGTTCTTTTAAGAAATAGGAAGGAAGACAGGGACAGGGAGCTCAATGTTCAATCCCTGAAACAAATGAAAGAACTCTCAAGAGTGTAGGTTAGACAAGCCCAGGACCACAGCTGACCAGAGGGAATGGTACTGGAAGCAAGACAGGGCTTGGAAGGCGAAGCACACAGAAACATGAAGGCAATCGCTGACTCCATGACTCCATTGGTAGTAATGGCTTGTCTCGGGAGGAAACCACAGATGCCAAATGCTGGCTTCACTAAAGACTGTCACAGAACTGGCCAGCGCCCCCCCCTCTTCACAGCAGGAGGCCAGCAGATAACTAAAACCCAAACCAAAAGCTGGTCTTTAGGATCTTACCTCATCTCAGCATGGGAACCACCAGGCTGGCAAGGGCACAGCCTAGGCAGGATGCCTCCCAGATCTGGATCTGAGTTGGGCCAGCACCTCACTCAGTCTCTGCACACCTGACCTGCAGCAGATCCTAGAGGATCATAGCCCTCTCAGGGAGTGCATAATAGCAGGAGGAATTCCAAAAGTTGCCAATGGATACTTACCAGACCCAAGCCCAGATCCAAATCTATAGCCCTGGAAATCCAGCCCATGATCCATCTCCTCAAGTTAGTTTCTATCCCAAACCTTGCAAAGTAACTTTTGGAAAAGAATATTTTTTAAAATGTCTTTTTAAAAATGATTAGTACCCATACATTTCAAAAACATTTTCAGCAAGTGATCGAGGCTTTGCCTACCTTGCCACCTTCCTGCTGGAGAGCCGCTTGGCTGGGCTGTGCAAAAACCAAATAAACAGGAAAATCGTGTCAGAGAGCAGACAGAAGGACAGGAGGAAACAGGAAGCTTGTGCTGAGGAGATAGCAGAGTACAGCATGCAGACCCCTGCCCCAGGCAGGCCCCATGCACAAAACACCCACTCAGCAAGACAGTGAGGATCCATGCAATATCTTTCACAAGTCTCCACAAGCCTTGTTATTCCACCTCCAAAACCCCAGATATAGCTAGCCAGACTGCAGTCCAGGGTTGAGCCCAATGTCTACATCCACTGGTTGACTGCACCTGGTCCCCTATCAGCCACCATCACACTCCAAATGCTTCAGAAACCAAACCATCACAGACCTCCAGTGAAATGTGGCACACTGTGCCAGACTGTGAAAGGAGAGCCTGTTATGGTTTTGACTTGGTCCCTAACACTTCACACTCTAAAAGATGAGGCAGGGATCTGGGAAAATCCAGGGCAATAAACATATCCACAGTCAATTACATCTTGTCCATCTGACTTAGCTAACTGTAGTGGCAAAAAGGGCCAAACACACCTCTTCTCTCTTTTCTGAAGCCTGAGGAAAACTTGCCTGTCTCTGGGTATAGGAACCACCTGCCTCAGCTTGCAGCAACTGAAGCTGTGCCTCTCCAGCTTCCAGGTTTCTTCCAGAGAAATCTACCTAGAGAGATGCGTGCTGCAACCATCACTGGTTCATTGACTCTTGGCTGGGCTCAAATGCATCCTTACATTGGCTTTGGGGACATATTTTTTCATTGAAATGTTACATTTTGCCAGTAGAGGGCACTGGATAGATGATGCAGTCCTTTAGCCTAGGCAATAGGGGCTCTTCTGGGGCATATCACTCAGCTTCATGGAAGGCTGGTGCATGTTTCCTAGCGAACAGCTTTCTAGCATTAGAAGGGCAATTTTCTGCCAAGTCCTACAAGATGAATCCTAAATAAGTCCTGAGTGCACAGTGCCCGATGACATCTCTGACCCTGCAGGAGGTGGGCAACTACTATTCATGATGGACTCCTCAGAGTTCTCATTACTGCACTGCCCAATACGTAATTACTGCATTGCCCAATACCCAATACCTAGCATATTCATTCTTCACACTACACCTTCCCTGTCCAGTTACTCTGTGGCTGGCTCCCCCTCCTGGCTGGACCCTGACTAGTACCATGTATATTAATACAAATACGATTTCATCTAATATTGTGCACACTTCGTAAACAATAAGACTAGGCAGACTGCTCAGTGTACCTGTTGACCTCTGGTTGGGCAGTCCAGTCAGAGTTTATGATTTGAAAATATACCTCTGGGTAAGGCAGATTTGTCAGTTTCTATAAAATGGACTGCTTTTACTGAGACTCCCAGGTACGTGGAAAACACAACAGCTGCCAGGGTGTCCTGTTACCCACCAAGAAGACACCACAGGTGACACCAAAGCCTCTGAAATGATCTGGACTAAACCCCCTGGAATAAATCCCTTTATCAGCCACACGGCGTGACCACGCAGCTGATCGTGAGGACATCCATGAAGACTAAGATGTATGAATCAGCTCTCTCCTCCTTCTCCCAATGGGCTAGTCCTGACCTTGTTTTTTTTTTTTTTTTTTTAGCAGTACTGAGGTTTGAACTCAGGGCCTCACGCTTACTAGGCATCTCTACCATTTGAACCACTCTGCCAGCTCCTGACTGACTTTAACAGGCTGCCCACCTTAGGTGAGGTACCCCAATGAGCTTTCTGGTTGTCCTCTGCTACCCAATGGCAGATGTGACCATGGTTATCTGGGAGCAGAAGATCACGTCCATGTAAAAAATCTTCAGAGAGCGAGAGATGAGACACGCATCTCCTCTTGCAATATCAGCAGGAGGGCAAGTATGCACGGGAGGATCACACAACCCCTCACCAACACTGAACTGACACCCAGCTGAATCCACAAAAGTTGAAAAAGTTTCCCCCAAAATGGAGGCTAGTAGGTCTTTATAATCACTAGAAGCCAGATTTGCTCAAGTCTTGCAGGAACACCCCTCAAACAGTGCTCTGGTTTCTTCTCATGGTTGCCAGGACCCCACCAGGCTCCCCCAAGCCTCCCAATTGGCCACAAATGCCATGAGCTGCCCTATCCTTTCCACCTCACTGGGCATTTCCTGGAGGCCTTATGTTTCACGGTGCTGCAAGGAACACAAGAAAAAGGGCTCAAAGTTGAGTGTGCCAGGACTGGAACTAGAGAAGAACAGCAGGAACAAACCAGGCTCACAGGGAGAGTCCAGCCTGGCTAAAGCCCTACAGTAGCAGCAGATGCATGACAAGCTGCTCAGGGAGGGTAGGCAACCTGTAGCAGACCTCCAAGCACACTACTGCATCAGAATGTCTATCTTTCTGCTACCTGTACAAACCCTCCTACCAGCCCAAAGCTCCTACTTCCAGGAAAACTGCCCCAGATTGTTACATGGAGCCCACAAACCTTCTGCCCAGCACCAATGTGGTGGTCGCTCAACCATCTCTGCTCAACTAGGGCTGCCATGGGAAGCTCCACATTTCTTCTCTGAACATTTCTCAAAGCTGACCACCCAGGGGCTTGCCCAGACCACAAACTAAAGCAAAAGATGCCTGGAGCATGCTAATATGAGTAAACCCAAAGATGTTTTCTAACATTGTAAGGAGTTGTGAAGTTGTAAGAAGCCAGCAAAAGGAGTTCTCTGGAACACTTGTTACTGGGACTGGCCACAGGAATGGGGGAAGCAAAGGGCTAAGATGTAAACTGCACCAGGCAAGAAAAGAAAAGGAACAGGGACTGGACAAGGAGAGCAGCAAGCACAGTGTCTAAAAGCAGGGCAGGCATGCCAGGCTCAGACTATAGGCAGTCTAGGGCCACCTTACAGAGCAGAGGGCTCCTTAGCACATACAACCCCAATTAAGCTCTTCTCAAATCTGTTTGGAAGAACCAACTTTAAGTGAGGTGCTGGTGGCTCATGCCTGTAATCCTAGCTACTCAGGAGGCAGAGATCAGGAGGATCGTGGTTCAAAGCCACCCCAGGCAAATAGTTCGTGAGATCCGTCAAAAAAAAGGGCTGGTGGAGTGGCTCAAGAGGTAGGCCCTGAGTTCAAACCCCAGTACTGCAAAAATAATAATAATAATAATAATAATAATAATAATAATTTAATTTCCCAGTTCTGCCTGACTCATGTGACTCAGTTAAATCTTTTAATAAAATGCAGGGAGTATCCTCTTTCACACGCTGGACTGTTTCCCAGGGACAGCAGCTGAGGAAGCTGCCACATGCACACAGGAGAGACAACAAAGCAGCAAGCATAGATTAGAGCATGAGGGGAGGGAGGGGCTGGAATGCAGGAAGAGTCCTGCTGTCTGAGGTCCTCCTTCAGTAGGGAGTTCAGGCCAGCTAGGTCAACTGGGGCAGGAGCACCATGAGCCAAGACCAGCACAGGGGCCTGCAGCAGCAGGAGTCTCCCTCACCCCTGGAACAAAGATCAAGGCCAGGCACTAGTGTTACCTATTCATCTCAAGATCATTCAGGCGGGCAGAAAGGTCCTCAAGGCGGTTGATTTGTTTGTGGCACTGGCTACAGTAAAACTCAAAGGCCTCGTCAGTGAGGATGCTGCGTAGCTTTGCGGCAAGTGGATCGGAGCTAGAGAGATAGAGTGTCAGTTCAGAAGAGGGAAGGGCCTGTCAAGCTATCTGTGCCTCAAAGAGGATGGCATAAGCACTGCAAAAGCAGTTGCTGGAAGAGAATAAGCTATGGAAGGTTCTAGCTGTCCCCTCTGGAGTGCTGTGGGTCCTCCCTTACATCACCCCAAGGAGTCAGCGACATTCACCAGCTCCAGCAATAGGGCTCTGCAACACCTCTGCCCTCCTGAACAGTGGACACAACAGTGCTTTTTTTTTTGTCACTGATGCTTTGAGACAGTGTCTCAATACATAACCCCCAAACTGAAACTTGAACTTGGCCTCCCAAGTGTTGGTTTTAATAACTGCTAGCAACTACCAATACCAAGATCTATGCCTACATGGTGCACTGTCAGTAGGTCTGGTGAAAACATTCAGAATTCTATCACCTGGGTATGCTAGCTGATCAGTGATTTCACTTCAATGTGCTCTTGGGAGTACTGGCAGAATGTGAAGCATCTGCTCCTAGAAAACTGAGGTCTGGGTAGCAGCCTCACCCCAGTGCAGCAGGACCCACAGGCTGTTGGAAACTAATTTGTAAGTTCAATTTAAAGAAGGGTGAAAAGGAAAACATAAAATGTAGACACAGTAATGAAAACACTGGATGAGAGACTAGAACAAATTGCAGAAACAGGAAGAATGCCACAGCAGAACAGACATGGACTCAAAAATGCCAAGTCTGCCTTGCACCCGCAGCTCCTCAGGACTCTCCCCAGGAGGGGTGAGCACCCAGGGACACTTTGGAGGGTTCCACCTCATTGTGAAGGCATATGAGTGGAATGGGGGTGGGGGCGGAATCCTGGCACTGGCCTTCACAGGTTCAGACTATAGCAACTGGGGAAGGGAAGAAATGTGTGGAGAACTTAAGGAGCCCAGGAGCAAAGAGGATAAGGGACCAACATGGACAGGCTGTCTAGCCAGGCAGGCCTGAGCCCCACAAAGAGACAAGAGTACTCTCTGACAGGCTGAATGCCAAGAAGGGGCTACTCAGGCCCTCAGATATAGCACACCCAGGTCCCCTGTCTGATACAAGTCAAGCTGACTCTGAATTCTGCTGTGATCGCCTCAGGCATAGGCCTAAGAGAAAGTAAGCTTCTTGACCACTAGATATTACAATTCAGTTTATTTAAACCCCAAATTTTCCAGTTTGGGGATGCCAGGTAATTTTAAGGAAGTGAATCTAAAAACTGGCTTGTGATTCTAAAGCTTCCTTCAAAGTCAACCACAGACCACAAAGTGATCCGTGACCAGAAGTGCAGGACCCCACAGGATAAGTTCCAAGCTCTGAGCCGTGTGGTTCAGCAGTGGCCACAGAGGTCTGGAGTGATCTGGGTATGTGACTGAATGAGAGGGACTGTAGCCGATCTTCATCCTGGTACAAATCCCAAATTCCTGAGTATGGTGTGTTTAACTACATGGTATAAAATAAAGCAAGCTTCCTCCTACCACCTTATGAACCTAACAGAGAAACTTCCCAATAACTAAGCACAGAAAGGGAGGAAGACCAAGCACAGTGCAGGGTGTCACCTGGGGGTGAGAAAAGATGGGTCACTGCAGTCCAGCTCCCCGTTGCAGAAGGTCTCTGGGGACAGTTCCACTTCACTGCCCTCACCATAGTCCTCAAAATGCTCTTCACTGCCAATCACCATGACGACAGTTTGACCACGGGGATGAGATCTGCAAGACACAGAAGTGTGTGGACCATGCCACAAGGTCAGAGTCAAACTGCTAGAAAAGCCCAACACATAGGAAATAACATCATTCTGAAGAGGCTGCTCCTCTCAGAAAAGGAGAGTCAATGGGGTGATGAGTGCCCATGCCAGGAGCAGTCAGCAGGGCCAGGAAGGCCTATGCACTTGTTCTAACCATGTAGCACTCAACAGGGCTGGAAGATCCAGTTTAACTACATGTGAAAGCCCAGGGGATTAGGGTGAGCCATGCCTTAAAACATGGCTTTTAATAAAAAGAGAGTGTGACTTGCAGACCAAGAATATTAAATGGAAAATTCCAGACCAAAACAATTTATAAGTTTTTAAGTAGCCTAGGATTTTAAGGGGTTTTTGTTTGTTCATTTGTTTTTGTGCAGTGCTCAGGATGGAACCCAGACTTGTGTATGGTAGGCAAGTGCTCTACCACTGAGCCACACACCCCAGCCCAACAGTTTTAAATACCTTTTATTACAGTATATTGTTATAATTATTCTACTTATTATGAGTCATTCGTTATTTATTTACTGGGGCTTGAACTCAGGGCCTTCATCTTGAGCCACTTCACTAGCATTATTTTTGTGAGAGGTTTTCTGAGATAGGGTCTCGTGTTCTATTTGCCCACAATCCTCCTGATCTCTGCCTCCTGAGTAGCTAGGATTACAGGTGTGAGCCACTGGTGCCCAGATATATTTTTTTTTCTTTTTGGTGGCACTGGAGTTTGAACTCAGGACTTCACGCTTGCTAGGCTAGCTTGAGTCATTGTTGTTAATCTCTTACTGAGCCTAATGGTTTCAGGTACTCTTCTGGGGGTCTTGGAACATATCCCCTGTAATCCAGTAACTTGGTACATTCTCAAAATGTTCCTAAAACACTAAAATGGGGGTGATCTCATCATTTCACTGTTCTAACAGTATTTCCAAATCGGCTGTTACCTGTCTGTAATCATTTCTCATCTTACACAGTAACCGGAAGAAATGATTCCTTTGGACTCTATTTTCTGTTTCTTAAGATTAGGTGCTCATTTTATCAACATGCCCAGAGCCTATGAGAGAAAATTTCCTTGAGAAGGGGAGAAACTACTATTGAGAAGAACTTGGGAGGCCCCTCCCTGCCACCCCACAGCAAGGTCACCATGAGGCCATGAAGACCTGTTCTTCCCTCAGAAAGGTGAAAGGGTCTAGATGCTCGACTCCTCTTCCTCTGCCCACTCCACCTCCTGCATCTGAGAGCAGACTTGACCATGTGCATTATCTGGGGACCAAGAGGCCCAAACTATATGGTGAAGTTACATAACCAATGTCCCAACAGGGAGCACCCCACTCCCAAACACTTCCTTTGCCAAGCCCACAGAAAGCACAGTGACATCAGCTTAAGGATCAACCAGATACCTGTCACTAATATGCATCTCAAAATATCTGCCCCCCCAAAAGCTTCAGAGTTCTCAAAAGACACTGAGAAAACTGACCAATGGTCAGCAACTCTGGAGGGGAAGTGACTGCTAGTGCGGCCTAACAGCCCAAGGCTGGAAACATCCCCCAAACAACCACACCCCTAGTGACTTCCCAGATCTGATTGTGTGTCTCAAATTAAACTTAAATAGAATTTAGCTTAACTTTAAAAATACTCACCCTTTCCTGCCTCCTGGCCACCAGGCGTGAACTGCTCTGCTCTGCCATGCCCTTCCTGCCATGGTGGACAGACACCTCTGAAACCTTTACACAACTAGTTCCTCATGGACAGCCAGGCTCAGAGACATCAAGTGACTCTATGAAGGCAAGGCAGCCATGTCTGTGACATGATTGGAATTCAAAATAAGGCTCTGACAATCTGCAACTGAGTTATGATGCTGCCCATCTTAACTATGAAGAAACTGAAGTTCTTAATCAGGAGGAAACGGAATGGTCATATCTAACCCACAAACTAATAAAACTACTAAAGATTTTTAAAAAATAAACATTTGAATGGAAGTCATGGGCAAAGGTAGCTCTCTACACCCTCACACTTCATGATAATGGCACTATTTCCTCCTACCCTTTTCATTACAAGCCACACGTGGCAGGTGTCACTTCCTATTCCTTTTCCACATGTACAGGAACTGGTGGACCTGGAAGGCATGTCTTTGGGCCCCACGTGGGCCTGCCTCAGTCCCACCCAGATGCATTGGTCTGTGTCTCCACCACAACCACACCCATACACACCAATCAAAGTGGAGACCCAAATAAATGGAGAGGTGCCACATTCAGAGACTGGAAACTCAATACTCTGAAAATGTTGATTCTCCCCCAAAAGAATACACAGAGTCAATACAATACAAATCAAATCTCAGATTTTTTTCTTTTCTTTCTATAATCCGATTCTGAAATCCACACAGATATGCAAAGGGCCAAAAGATAGCAAAGCAACCTTGAAGAATGAGGGCGGAAGACATATCAGTAGACAGCATGATGTGTGGCATGCTGGGAGAGAGACAGGGTGGACAGGGACCAGCATACCCACTCAGGAAGAGAGATGCGGTGGTGCAGGCCAAGAATGGACAGGGCTCTTTGATCTTGGCAGCTGACACACCATCCAGACTAATGAAGACCTGGAAACTTAAGGGCCACACAGCCATAGCTACAGCCACACCAGCAAGCACCAGAAGCTCCTAGGAGGCCAGGGTAATGCTTGTGGCATGCATCACCACAGGGTCAGTTTCAACTAATATCACCCAACTTTAGCAAAGTTGGTATGAGGCATTACAACTTAAAGAGGAACCAGAGCTTCTGCCCAACTGTCAACCTTAATAAACAGTGGATGCTGGTCAGTGGGAAGGCTGGGTAAATGCTGCCAAAAACAAGACTAGAGTGGACCCCATCATTGATGTGGTGCTATTGGGCTACTACGAAGTACTAGGGAAGGAAAAACTTGCATCATGAGGGCCAAGAGCTGAGGGTGTCGGGGATGGCAAAGTGGATCAAGTGGTAGAGTGCCTGCCTAGCAAGTGTGAAGTCCTGAGGTCAAGCCCCAGTATCACAAAAAAAAAAAAAAAAGGTTAAGAGTAGGGTGGGTATCTGTGTCCTGGTGGCTTGAAGTCACACAGAGGGAGGTTCATTAAACCTATACTAAGAATTTCTTAAAAACAAAACAAAACAAAACAAAAAGAACGCACTGGGTCCAGAGAAGCTCTCCTCACAAATACCACCTTCACTCCCAACACCCAGGAGAGGGGAACTGGAGGAGCCAAGTCCATGAGACATCAATCTGGGAAAAAAATGATCCCTACCTTACACTACATACAAAAACCAGTTACATAGAAACTGTTTTTGTTTTTTGGTTTTTTTTGGCAGCCTGGGGTTTGAACTCGGGGCCTCACACTTGCCAAGTAAGCACTCTTACCACTTGAGCCACTCTACCAGCCCCTGAAAATGGAAGATTTTTAAAAGGAAAGCAGAAGTCTGCTGACCCCTGCAACAAACAAACAGGCAAAGACTTGGAAAAGCACTTCATGGAAGAGGAGCTCCAAGTGAGCTCCTCAGCTTTCAGAAACCTGGGAAATGCAGTGAGAACTACTCTGCACCAGAGCTACAGGCCCACCAAAGAGTGAGCACGAGCAAGCAGACCACCCAAGTGCCACCAAGCAGAGGAGCAATGAAATCCCAGAGACAGCTGGAAGGAATGAACCTTCTGTAACTGCCAAGGAACCAAGTAACTCTTGGTGGAAAAGAGGGGGTTGAGCTCAGGTCTTTGCACTTGGCTAGGTAGGTGCTGTACCACTTGAGCAACATCCCCAGTCCGTTTTGCTTTAGTTGCTTTTGAGATAAGTTCTTGCTTTATGCCCAGGCAGGCCTGGATGGCAGTCTTCCTGTTTATGCTTCCTGCACAACTGGGATGACAAGTGCAAAACAAGCCCTCCCAAACTCTGCCTCCCAAAGGCATGAGCTAGGGTTAAAGGCCTGAGCCAATAAACTGAGGAGCTTTTAAAGCTGCAGGTATGTGCTCAATTCCCAGGAACATACCAGGCCACTAAGAAACATGTCTGTAACAGTTTTATTCTAAAAAACAAAAAAGGTAAGCTACCTAAATGCCTGCTGACAGAATAAATTAAAAAGTTATGAAATATTTGTAATAGGACACTATGAAAATAAATAAATTACAACTACACACAAAAGTATGAATGAACCTCATAATCACAGTATTAAGTTAAAGAACCCTGGTGCTAAAAGGGTACCTACTGTGTGACCACACTTACGTGAGACAAATCCACACTGCCCTAGGAAGGCTGTCCCCAAAGAGGCACAAGGGGCACTGTGGTGCAGATGTGTTTTTTTCCACCTGACAGCCAATGTAGTAGGGTGGTCAGTGTGAAGAGCTAGCTGGTGCTAGTTGTGTACTTACACTGCAAATACTTATGACACTTGGAGCTGTGTTATGTACACTGAAGAATAAAAAGCCAAAAACTGAGGGGCAAACCAAAAATGAACTAAAAGAAACAAAATTAAAACATTTCTCTTTTTGGTGCTTTCATTATTTTTCTAATAGACTATACTACTCCTACTTATTTTCCTGCATAGCTGGGATGACAGGTGCACCACCTCACCCAGTTTTTTTTTTTTTAATTGGTTGAGATAGAGGTCTCACAGACTTTCTTGCAAAAGCTGGCCTCGAACTGTGATCCTCCCAATCTCTGCCTCCCAAGTAGCTAGGATTACAGGCATGAGCAACCACACCCGGCAAATAAAAACACTTCTAAGTCTGCTAAGCCCAGTGACTTCTAGGACAGTTCAGGGAGGGAACGAAAGCTGTCACTTGGATCTGTGTGGCTGACTCTTCCTTCTCCAACCACCCTCAATAAGCTTCCCTTAGACCAGGGGGAGAAAGACACACTGGGTGCCACAGGGAAATAAGAACAGGTGTTCTGTACAGGGTGCTGCAAAGAAATGCATTAACTATCCTGTCTTCCAGGCCTGGCTTCAAGAACTGTGCAGACAAAACCCAGAAGACTGAGTTAAAGCTTGTCTCTTATAATTTCTATCTTTTTTTTTTTAGTGGTACTGGGGTTTGAACTCCAGGCCTCACACTTGCTAGGCAAGCACTCTACCACTTGAGCCATTCTGCCAACCCATAATTTCTATCTCAATAGCCAAAGACATTGTGCCACATGAAAACCAGGGTAGTCACTGTCAGAAGGAGCATTCATCTCTTAAAGGGATGTCAGGTAGGTGGGAGTCTTCACAGGCAGGTATGGCTCTGCAGGTAGGTATAGCTCCACAAGGGGAGAGGCAGTAAGGCAGATGCTAAAGTCCAGACCCCAGACAGTGCAGATCCAGGAAGTACACCAGGGGGCCACTGTGGTACAGACCTTCCAGGAAGCAGCAGCAATGCACCATGGTCAGGCTCCTCCATGACGTCCAGGCACTCAGAGGGCACAGCTGAGCCACCTGCACTGTCAGCATCCCCCTCAGGCTGCAGCTCAGGATGCACAAGGGTGCTGGTGTCCTCATCTGTGAAGGTCTCACACTCGCTGTAGGTGCTCTCAGAGCCCATGTACGCACTGTCTGTCACCTCGTTGGCCTAGGAGAGACCATCAACAGTCAGTCCAGGCTGCAGAGGCTGTGCTGCAGATGGGGCATGGTGCCAGCAAATTTCAACCCTATCTCTAAAGAGAAATGTTAACTTATGAAATAGGATCTTTTTTTTTTTTTTTGCTTTTTTGTTTTTTTGGTACCCCATGATATTTTTTAAATGAAAAAGAAGCATACATACACAAAAAAACACCAGATAAAAATATATGGAGTCAAGTTGGGCATGGTGGTATACACCTATAATCCCAGGACTCAAGAAGCCAAGACAGGAGGATCATGAGTTTGAGGACAGCTTATACATAGCAAATTCCAGGCTAGCCTGGGCTACCATAGAGAGACCCTGCCTCAAAACACAAACATGGAGTTCTTTTCTTTCTTTCTTTCTTTCTTTTTTTTTTTTTGTGGTATTGGGGCTTAAACTCAGGGCTTCGTGCATGCTAGGCACGCACTCTTCCACTTTGAGCCAAGCCTCCAGCCCAGACCAGTCACTTTTACAGTCAGTTAAGTAGTCATGCCTAAAAGATACAAAGCATCCCAAAATCACATATTGGGGGGAGACACTGCTGTGACTTCTTTTGTGGCTTCCACTGTGGGAATAATTTATAGCCAAGGAATTAACATCCAATGGTGTAAGAATGTGCTTGTTTACATTAAAAAGTCACCATCTACAGCTATGTTGTGTGTTCAGGCTATTGCTTTGAAATTAAAAGTTAAGACCTAAGTTTCAAATGTTCTTATCAATCTTCTAGCCAATTTTGTTGACTGGCCAAATGTCTACTTTCTCACTAGACATATCTTTGTTTTTACTCCTTTCTTAAGTATGTCCTTTTTTTTTTTTTTTCAGTACTAGAGTTTGAACTCAGGGCTTTGCACTTGTTAGGCAGGTGTTCTACCACTTGAACCACACCTCCAATTCTCTTTGTTTTTACTTTTATGTACTCAGAACATGGTACAGGGCCCAGCATTTGGTAGACTGTACAAATTAACTTAAAATTAAAGAATCTTTAAACAGGAAACTTTCCGTTTATAATTTCAATTTTCAATACAATGAAGTTGTAGGACAAGAAAAGGAGTCCACATTTCATGCTCATATGATTCTGTGGTTAACAATTCACAAAGAAGGTTTCAGAAAAGTTGCAGTTCTAGCAGGATAAAGATACCCTTTGTCCTCTGGGTTTGCTATCACATGGAATGTGAGGACATCCTGAACCCACCCAAGCCTTCCTCCAAGCCTCATCTAAAGGGACTAAGGTCTGAGCAGCACTGCTGAGGAGAAACCAGCTCCATCCTGAAGCACCACTGACAACTGTATGACCTCAGACATGTGACTCGACCCTGAAAGGTTCATCTATAAAAGGAGCTATAAATGTAGAACTTACAAGGCAGTGGCCTTGTGGATCCAGGGGATGACAGGCAGGTTCTCTTCAGGGTGTAGAAACAAGATTGTGGGGTATACATCTCTCTGGAGGGTAGAAAAACCCTGTCCACTTAGCCCACAGAAGCTGGAATAACACAGACTACAAGATTTGGGTGTCTAATCATATCACTCAAGGTTTCAAGAGAAAACTCAATTTTCCCTAGAATCTAAGGAACTCTTTTTTTTTTTCTTTTGGTGGTACTAGGGTTTGAACTCAGGGCCTTGTACTTGCTAGGCAGGCACTCTACCATTTGTGTCACACACCCCAGCAAATCTAAGAAGTTCATAATAACTAAGTAATCCATAGAAACCATATACTTCAAAACCTGAAGCCAGCAAGCCACTTCAACAGGTCCAGCTCCAGTTTTATCCATCTTCTGAGTGAGACAGGCCAGGACTCCACCCACAGTAGGACTGCATCTGGGCTGCCTGTGGGAGGTCAGGACAGAGAGGCCAGAAAAGTAGGAAGGCCCAGGCATCTCTGCAGGGCTGGGCCCTTGGAGGATGGCACCACAGCACAAAACAAAAGACCCCAGACTTCTGATGTTACATGAGGGGAGGATGCTAATGACCTCAACAGAACTGCACACTCCCAGAGGGTGTGCTCCCAAAAGACAGTTATAAAACTCACTTGGGGACATTAAGAAACCCTTCACAGACTTCTGGAGAGTGATCACTAACAAGGACCAAGCTCAGCTCTTCAGTAGATAGCCAGATACTTCTAAATGAATGTTGCTCTTAACTGGAGATGATGGTGTATGGAGAGTTCAAATGCAAAAGTAGTAAGACCCTACTTCAAAAACAAAACAAATGCCTAGCAAGGGCAAGACCCTGAGTTCAAACCCCAGTAATGCTTGCCTAGCACACACAAGCTCTGGGGGAGGAAGGGAAGGAGAGAGAGAGAGAATGCTGCTCTGGTCCATAAGGATGGGCCCATGGAAACCCTGCTTACACTAGACCCTCACCAGCAGAGTGACAAGACTCTAGGCATAGTTCTTCTAAAGACCTTCAGAGCATGTTTCCTGCACACAACATAACTTGACCCCGAAGCAGTGTTTTTAAAAAGCCAACCACCTTATTTCTGACAGGTACCCACTGCTTCTCCCTGGCCATGTGGACCCTGGGATTCCAATGGCAGCTCAGGCCTTTACACTAACACACCAGTTTTCTCTCTCAAATGCAGCTCTAATAACCCAGCTGAGCACTTCGAACTCCAGGACAGAAAAGTTCAGGCTGGAGTCTGCTCCTTTACAGAGCTCCTACCCTCATGGGCAGAGGTTGGGGGCTACAGCTTAACCTACCCTGAAGCTTAGACAAGGTCACTCAAGATAGAAATAACTTTCTTCCAACAGGAAGATGAAGAAGAAAATGCAGTACCAACTCCAAGTCCAGGTAAAAGGAGCAGGGGGGGGGCCTGAGCAGCATCCCCACCTGTAACATAGCACCAGGAGGCCAGCTGCTTGCCCCAGCCTCAACTCCTCACCTCTAAAGCAATGGTCCCATTCAAACACTACAGAGTGACTAAAGCACTCCAAGTCACACAGGGGTGAATACAGTTAGCACTCACCCCTTTAGTCGCTCCAAACTATCAACAAATAGGGTTGTGAAGGTCCTGTCTCCACAGCACTGTTGTAGGCACTTCCTAGCGAAGTGCAGGGCAGTAAAAGACTCCTACTCAGAACCATGAAGTCCCAGGTCGCAACTGGGTTGCAACTTCACAGATGTAACCGTGAAGGCAGAAGTCCCCTTGGTGTGGCCCGAGCCTGTCATGGAGGCTCAAGTGCTGGAAGGATAAGCACTCATTGCACAGGTGCTGCCTGCCTGCTTAATCCTAAGCCAGTCTTCAGCCAGCTACTATTGAGTAAGGTGCCCTTTAAAGTGCCAGTGAGCCAGGTAGCAAAATTTGTTTTCCTGTGTCCTTTCAAGAGAGGCACAAAACCACCTTGGAGCACAGTGCTCACCCACAGTCTACTGATAGAATGCATGCGCAGCTGATCCTTTGGGCTATATCTGCTAGCCAGCCAGAATCCACCTTTGCCCAGAAGCCAAGTCTGCACTGCCAACTTGTAATTTTTTTTTTTTTTTTTTACCAATTACCAATGTTAGGATGAACTTGCTTAGAAGACAAGCACCAGTGGTTCAGCTACTTAGGAGACTAAGATTGGGAGGATCTCAGTTTAAGGCCAGCCCAGGCAAATAGCTCAAGAGATCCCATCTCCAAAATACCAGAACAAAATGGACTAGAGGTGTGTGGCTCAAGCAGTAGAGTGCCTGCTTTCTGAGCACCTGTTTTACAAGCATGAAACCCTGAATTCAAATCCAAGTCCCACCAAAAAATAAATATGAACTCACTTGAGAATCAAAAAACATCTTAGAAAACTTGATCATGTATTAATGCTACATTCACTAGCTAACACATCATCTAAATTGCCAAGGGACGGACAAGGCCTGTATCCAGGTTACCAAGTGTGACCAATACTGCCTAATAGCTCCCAAAATCCAGGTCACGGCTCCTTCTCCCCTGAACTCTTCTCCTTCACAGGAAACCAGTTCTGGACACAGTGTGAGTTCGTGTCTCCTCTTACCCTCAGATGCCAGCTGAGCTCCCTTACAGGCCTGGCTCTGCAGGCAAGTTCTGCAAAAGATGTGCTGCTGGAGCCGGCCTCCCCATTGTATCTCCCAAGTCCACCAAATCGCTGGCTTCTCTCAACTGACAACGTTGCCTTCTTATTTGTTAGTCACACTGGAGCTTCTGAAACCCTGTGTGCCCATCTGAAGTCACATCACTGCCTGGGAGAAAGTTTAACCTGCTCTCAGACTCGCTCTGGTAAACCTCCCACTAGTGCTGCTCAGGGAGGGAAAGGCTTAAAGTTCAGGAAGAGTCCTTGCTGGCTTTAACAAACAGCCACGGCTCAAAACAGAGCAGCTTTGTTGTACAATATATAACCTTTCTGATAACATTTCATATAAAAGACACATTTGCCATCATTTTACTAAAGCGGACTTTTCTCCAGAGCCCAGCAGTGGGAGAAGGGAGGAGGCACACAGAAAGCACAGCGGGTACAATTCTGAGACGACTTATCTGTCTTGTTTTGCCTGTTCTGTGACTTCCCACTGCCTTCCAGAAGTGATAAATGAGCTCCACCCCATGCATCTCCATCCTCCCTGCACCTGCTCTGATTCTTAAGGCAAGCTTTCTTCTCACAACCATTCCTGTGAATGTCAACAGTAAATCCTAACCCAGCCCCCCAACTCTTCCCCTCTCACTTGAGACACATCAGCAACTTTCTCCTATGACAAACTACAAGCCTAATGGTCCTCAGGAAAGCAGCAGAAGCCAGGAAGCTGCTGGGAGGCTTTGGAAGGGAATACAGTCCCTGGAACTAACTGCTCACACAGTAACTGCTTGACTATTAATGCTACCATGGTAACTATCTGCTCATGCCCTTGTCCAGCATAAGTCTTGAACACCCACCATTCCCAGACAGAAAACATAGGTGTGATGGGAAACACTTTCAGAAAATCATGAAAGGTCATTCACTTCTGAAGATCACAGGTGGAAGGGCTCCAAACGCAGTCCTTAGATATAACACACATATTCATCACTCATAAAAGCACATTAGACTTTTTAAGACTACATGATGTATAAGTTTTTTTTTTATTTAAAGAGAGCAATCTTTTTGTAAATAGTATCTAGTTCCACTTTTCTGAAAATTACATCTAAATCCTTAAAAAAGCAAGATAAGAAAGAGAATCAGTCTGGGAAGGGGCATCCCGTGAGTGTAGCTCTGTGACACTGTGGAAAGGCAGAACCACAGACTCAAAAACGATCAGGGACTGCCAGCGGCTGGGGGAAAGAAGGTTGAATAATGGAGTACAGGGGGCTTCTTGGGTGAGAAAAGATGGTCTGTGACACTGCCTTGGAGATGTCCTCACACGTCTGTCAGAACCACAGAATGCACAGCACCAACAGGGAGTCCTAGGTATGTTGTGGACTATGGTCAGCATGAAGTATCACAGGTCATTGCTGAGACCCTGTACCCACCAGTACAAGGTGCTCATAATGGAGTCACTGGAGTCGGGGTGTATGTGGACCCTCTATTTGCTCCATAAACCTAAACCTAGTTGTTCTGTAAACCTAAAACTGCTGCAAAATATGAAGTGTGTCAATTTTTTTCAAAAGGTAACAAAAACTTAGAAATATTTCCTCCATCTAAAAGAGTAATCAGGATCTAAAAACCTGACAAGTGTTCCTGCCTCACATTCAGGTTACATGCAAGATAGTGCAGCAAGGTGTGGCCAATCAGGCCCCAAGGCAGGGCTCAGGCCCAGCTGGTACTTCGGGACAGAGCTATGAAGGGTGACCTGTCACGCCTAGGTGGCCAGAGGTCTGTGTGGGCCACAGTAATAGACTATCAGCCAGGATATGAGCCTGGCTACCTGAGGAGTGACGGACCTGGAACCGCTTCCCAGAGCAAGAACAGGAAGTGCATGGATAGCAGTGGAAGCTGGAGTCCCATGCATGCAGGTCCTCAGAAGCTTTGTGGATATTACTGAGTCAGTGCCTCACATGACAAAGGAGCTGGGGCTCTAAGGACTGAAGTGATGAACCAAATGTCCCACTGGCTCATGGCTCAGCCCTACTCCCCAAGCCTTTAGCCCTCAGCAGAGGACTGACCAGGACTGGTGGTGCTGCTTCTGCCTTCTCAGCAGCCCCAGCAGTCAGGTACAACTCCAGGTAGTTTGTTTTTGAGACAGTCTCATCGTGTTGCCCAGGCTGCCTTGCAACTCTCGGGCTCAAGTGATCCTTCTGCCTCAGCCTCAGCCGCTGGGATCACAAGGCTTCATGTATTTTGTAAAGAAAACATTCCAGATTTAGTCACACGGCTCCTGAGCACAGTTAAAGTGGTCTATCTTCCTCAGGTATGACTTTCTCCTGAGCTATGGTGACAAGGGACCCACAATTATAAGAAACACATCACTGTGACAACCCTCTGGGAGCAGGGGATGGAAGACAGCAAGGCAGGAAACAAGGGTTAACCAAGTGTCCTCAAAATACAGAAGACAGTTTGAAAGTTCATAAAAGTAAACTATGAGTCTTCTGCTCTGCCCTTACCTGGCAGAAGGCAACCACAATGTCATCACAGAGTCCTAACTGCCCACCAACCTCTGGCTCCACAACAGGCCCCTGGGAAGACTCCTGCCAAATCATGGAGTATGCAGGCCCCAATTCCACCCCCAACCATGCCCCTGAAGGTAGCCCGGGGAGCAGACATCTGCAGGCCTCCTGACACAGCCAAGATACATCAGAGCCCAGAGCCCACCACCCAGACACCCCAGTGACACATACAGTGTGGGAGGTGAGCCCCCTTCTCTTCACACTGTCTCTGTGAAAGCAGCTGCAGTGGCTCAGGAAGCAGGAGCTCAACAAGAGAGGAAGAGACAGAGGTCAGGCTCAGGGGGAGAGCACTTGCCTCATAGGTGACGAACTCATCGAAATCATCAGCGCAGGCAGGGTGGTCCTCATCCTGGGCAGGTGCCACACTGTATAGCTGGCTGTCAGGATCTGCAGAGAGAAGACCCAGTGCTCAGCAGGCCATCTGGAGCTGCCCAGAGAGGTCAAAGGTAAACCTATAGATGCACAACTGGGGCTCTGTGAAAAGGATGCCTCTTGGGTTGGGCTACTGTGGGAGGAGGGAGGGCCTAGAGGTCACTGCAATTGGAGGGGGTAGAGGGATCAAAACCAAACAGTGAGCCTTGAAAGCTACATCCCTGGGAAAACAATGTTTCTTGCCAGAATGCTGAGGAGGTGGTGTAGAGGCAGAATAAAATCTTTATTGCTTAAAAAGCTCCAAACAACATTGTAAAAGAAAAAAGAACCAGGCAGCTTTTAATTTTTCTCTTTTTTTTTACTATCTGATACAGTATTTTTTTTTAAATAATAAAGCACCATCTCCTTGCAATGGACAGACTGAATTCTGACTCAGTGGTAGACATCACTTCTCAAACACCCTGACCTCCCAGAGTACCTGCCATTTCCCTCTGTAGGAAAAGGCACCAATCTCTGTGGTCTCCTGGCAATATTCAGAGGCATAAACCCATGGCAAGGGGCACACAAGTGACACGTTACATCTCCTGATGTCCACTACAAATGCAGTTACTTACATGAAATACACACTACTTACAGCAGCAGTTACTTATTCAGTGTTTTTAACGTAATCATTCTAGCATGAGTCACTGGATTAAAAGGTAGAGTCGCCATCTCCTGAGTGCAAAGTGGAACAGCAGCCTTCCCCAGATGCTCCCAGGGAAGCACTTTAGAAAGGTCTGGATTCATCCAGCTTGGCCATCAGAGACCAGAAGATTCCTGTTGTGTGATCTAATCAGCATGAGGAAAACATCCTAGCATGTTCCGAGGATCAGTCACTAAGAGATCCGGGTAACTGGAGACAGGACACATGGGAAAGTAAGGATGGGCATCCAAGGAACCTCATCACCAGGCAGACAGGGCACCTGCTACTTCATTCAGTTTCTAGATTTCTCTCAATTTAAATGGAATAATAATTTCTTCTGACAACTGTGCAAATGCAAACATTTATTGCATATAGATGGTAATGCAATAATGCTCTCCTTTGTGGCTTTTGTTTTACGAATCACGGGGTTTTTGCACAGCTGAATGCAGTGTGACTGAATGGGAATGTGACTTGAACATCTGGGTGGTCTGGGCCCTAGCCAGAGTGAGGGAGCCTCAAGCCCAGCCTCACCTGGCCCATCAGGTAGACCTGACCCCAGCCCTCACCAATCAGGCTCCAGTCCTAGTATCAGTCTGGTGCATGAGAACTGCAGCAAAGTATGCTTATTCTAATGCAGGCCAGGCATTGCTATAGCCAGAAACTTCTGGATTCTGGAGCAGAGTAAAGGAGGACCCCCTCATCCCAGAGCAGCCAGACTGAAGTGAATGTTTCCTAAAGGGCTACAACTGTTTCTGCCAGGTTCTTCCACTACCAGATGCTAACACATTTGCTGTGCTTCCAAAACTGAAACTCAAAACTTGAAACTTTTAAAACATAGTCAAGAGTGTTAGATACTTGGACTTGCTAAAACACCATGAACAACAATGTAAGAGCATTGCCCACCTCCACCTCCACCCACAGGTGCCAGTGACTCACATCTGTAATCTTAGCTACTCAGGAGGCAGAGATCAGGAGGTTCATGGTTCAAAGCCAGCCCAGGCAAATAGTTCAAGAGACCCTATCTCAAAAAACCCATCACAAAAAAGGGCTGGTGGAGTGGCTCAAGGTGTATGCCTGATATATATTTAAAAAAAAAAAGGCATGCCCCATGTGGTAGAGCCCAAAGAGGGAGATGGGAACATAGCAGACATGCTTATATTCTTGACAAGAACTAAGTATGATTCTTGTGTTTGTCTTCTCTATAAGAACCAAAGTAAGGGCTGGTGGAGTGGCTCAAGTAGTAGAGCACCTGCTTAGCAAATGTGAGGCCAAGTTCATACCCCAGTATCAATGCCCCCCCCAAAAAAAGAGGAACCAAAACAATTTTCAATTAGATGGAAATTTTTGTCCTTTCAGAGCTGAGAGGTACATGAGCCAGAACCCTGGCCTATTTGTAACAGCTCCCTTTCTCTGTCTCATTCTATTTCTGAAATAGGGCCTGTAGCTATGACAGTAAAAATCTTGCTCTTCCAAACTAACTGGGTCAGTATTACCATGCTGCTTATGGTGACACTGCCCAATGTCAAGTGCATCTGACAAGCGAGACATGCTGTGTGCAGCTGCAATAGCACAATGCAGCTGAGGCATGAACTGAACATCAGTGGAAAATGCAGCTCAGGTAAGCATGTTATCCTTTCTCCTAATTGCTATGAAATACTTTCAAAGTCATTTCACTCTAGCCTGTGCCACCTCCACTAGCCTGTTTAAGCCCTCATCACTGCAGCCTCCTCACAGCCCATCTGCCCAAAGACCCTGCCGAAGGGCCCAGACCACCTGCTCTCCTGAGTAGGTCTCTCTCAACACCTCCCTATGCTCATGGTCCCTACCTTTCTCTTCCCGACCAGAAGACCATCCTCCAGACCCAGGGGTCTGCTCTGCACAGGATGAACTCAGGGAGGGTGAATCCTGCAATGTCCACCTAATATGCCATCAGTCTGAGACACAAAGATCTGAGAATGCTTCTATTCCAGAATGCTCTTGCCACTGAAGAAACACAGCACCACTCCCTGGAGTATCCAAGCTAATTTTGGGGCTGGTTGAGATGTTTTTATCCTTAAATTAAATCAAAGTGGAAATACTGACAAAAAAGAACACAAAATAATGGTATCAATAGCACCCCAGTGGGACTATTGGCTGTGAGGGAGGCCAGAGGCAGACTTTTGTCCAGGCAGACTACTGGGCTCTGAGCAGTCAGTGTTCCCATCAGTTCTAGAGCTCAGTCTGCCCTCACTGGTGCTGGAATGTAGGGATGAAGTCTGTAGCACTATAGGAACTGCACCATAGGAGGAGAAGCAGAGGGTAGGGCTGGGGAAAGACAGAGGCTGGGTATAGTAGGCAGGCTCTGGGCATACAAAACAGATGCCAAGAGACAGCCAGGCCAGGAAATGGCTCCCATACAGTGATGCAGGAGAGCAGGCTGTGATGAAACAGAATAACCTGGCCAGTTCACAGCAATCAGTTCCCCCTCCCAGGGCGTACCTGTCAACCCCTGGCAAGGACAGGGGACACCATAGTGACTGCACTATAGTAGCCTCAGAATGCCATGGCAGATTCTGGGAAACAGGCCATTAACTGCCCTCATCAAAGACTGACAAATATCTACATGTTCCTTCAGTCACTAAACCAGACTTAGGGAACCAGGAGATGGCTGGTTTGCCAGCTATCAGCAGCTGGTAAACCCTCCTGAAGACAGACAGAAGCCAACTCCACAGAGAACATGGCAGGCTGAGGACTAGACAACTCTATGACAGCAGGTTTCAGGTCTCACCTGCCCTAGGCAGGAGATTTCAGAACCTAAGGCAGGGGTACCTTCCAAGTCAAGACACCAAAGAGGCCCCATAGCAGAGCACTAGCGATTTCACACAGTAACTGAGGTCCAGTTACTGGTCTAGAGGACCTCACATAGATGTCTCCTGCAAGCCGTTGTGCAGGCTCTTCCCAGCCTCAACCCTGAAGACAGAACTGAGCAGTCAACTACCCAAATCTGAGGATAACTCCAGCTAGACTCCCCCTGACTGGCCATGTCCATGGCCCACGGCTAACAGGATGCTGAGACCCGTGGGCCCACAGGTGCAACCATAGCACCTCCTTGCCACCTCTGGCTACAGGCCCAGGAACAGTCAGTCACATGGTACAGACCAAGTTACGTGTTACATGTCGGACAAGCAGAGAGCAGGCATGGTAACCAGTTACGCTGCCAGGCACGCTGCATGTCTGGCATTTCAGGAACTGGGTTGCTGCTAGCGACGTACATAATGAGAGAGGCAGTTAAGACAAGAGATTACCCATTTTACACAAAATGCAGAGTGACAGCTGTTACATGCTACATGTTGTTTTATTTGTGTATTTGTTTTTGCGGTACTGAGGCTTGAACTCAGGACCTTTACCTAGAGCCACTCCACCACCCCTATTTTTGTGAAGGGTTTTTTTGAGATAGGGTCTCATGAACTATTTGCTGGGGCTGGCTTTGAACCACGATGTTCCTGCTCTCTGCCTCCTGAGTAGCTGGGATTTCAGGCATGAGCCACGGTGCCCAGCTCCACGTTACTTTACATACATGTATCATACATGCCCATGGTGAGACGCTGATGGTGACAAGCAGTCTCAACCACTCTTGCCCCCTAAAGCCTGCTGTCTCATTTCCTGCCCTATTTCCAAATCATTCCCTTGAGTTCCTCGATTCTATTTCCTCCTGAGGTTCTATCGTAGCACATGAGAGACTTAGCACACCATGTCTCATTTTCCCTCTCCCCAGTCTTTCACAATGGTTAAGTCATTCTTTGGTTACATAAATATTCAATTTAATTACTATGACTATGTAAAATGGTGCTCATTACTGGGCTGAGAAGTACACACCCTTTCCCTCCTATTCTACCTTTTTTTTTTTGTGGCACTGGGGCTTGAACTCAGAGCCCCACACTTGCTAGGCAGGTGCTCTACCACATGAGCCACTGTGCCAGCCCTTTTTTGTGTTGGGTATTTTCAAGATAGAGTCTCAAGAAATGTCTGCCTGAGGCTGACTTCTAATTGCGATCCTTCTCATCTCTACCTCTGGAGTAGCTACGATCACAGGCGTGAGTCACAAGCACTGGCTTATTCTACTTCTTGTTCTACCTGCAAAGTCACTGCCTCCTAGTGTCTTGTGCTTGGCTTCTGAGTACTCATCACCCTTCTACCCCAAATGCTCAGGCAGAACTGTGAAGGGTTTTTCCAAAGACCAGCCAGTTCCAGGAGAACTCCCCAGCATAAGGGTCACCATCTGCTACTTAATGAAACACAAACTTGACAACACCATCACTTTCATTAGGGTGGCAGAACTCCTCCCCACAACTGAAGTCAAACAGTATTGAGTGAGTCCCAAGCTGGTGCACACATGAACTCAAGCGCCCAACAGAGGAGAATCAGCATCCCTTCAAGTACACATATCCTATTTATAAAGATTGACCATCGCTGGACCATAAAGCAAATTCAACAAATACCAAAGAATCAAGAGAAGATCATAAACATCACATTCTCTGCCACACACACAATCAGGTTGAAATTACTGACAAGATCTTAAAATACATTGATAAATTTTAATATAGTTTTTAGGCAACTGATCAGTGAAAGAAGAAATCATGAATGAGTTTTGAAATTAAGAGGGGGCTGAGGTGTGGCTCAAGTGGTAGAGTACCTGCCTAGCAAAGGGAGGGGAGGGAGGAGAGGGGAGAAGGGAGGAAGGAATAAGAGAAAACTCTACCCCAGGAAGGTCCCTGAGAAAAACCAGTGGAAGCTGCTAGAGGGCAGGCCATCCCCAAGGCCACAGATGCCAAGGTCCAGGGTGACCTGAGACAATCAGCCTATCTGGATGGCTAGAGGAATACACTCCACCTAGCAGACCACCAAGAACACTACATGTGCAGGAGAAGCCAAAATTCTCACAAGGCTGCCACAGAAACTTCTATGCCAAAGGAAAAACATCCAAACCATTGTTTGTTTGTTAGTACTGGCATCTGAACTCAGGGCCTCACACTTGATAGGCAGGTGCTCTACCACAAGTCACTCCACCAGTCCTATTTTGTGTTAGATATTTTCAAGACAGGATCTCACAAACTATTTGCCCAGCCTGGCCTCACTGCAGGCTCTCAATCTCGACCTCCTGAACAGCTAGGATTACAGGCATGAGTCAATGGCACCCAGCTCTCGATCATTTTTTATTGCACACCTACCCTCAAAAACTGATTAATGACTACAAATTATGGGCCAGGCTGACAGAGAGTCACATCAATTTCAGCCTATTGACACCCAGTCTGGGACTTTGTGGCTGTCCGAGCTGTTCTCCATCTTGTCCCTTCATGAGGCAGCAGGGCTTCTCACCTGTCCCCACCAATACCCCCATAGCAGGGGCTCTGCTTTCCAGCTTATCTCTGCACAGGCCCCATTCACCTGGGAGATCACCTGCACATTAACCATGGCCTCCAAGGTCTATAATCTCTCCTTTTCCATCTATGTTGACCATGACACAGGCCAGCTCTTGCACCTGGTAATCTCCCTCCTGCACCTCTTCAGACAGGGCTATCTACCTAGAGATGGCTTGCACAGTTCATCTCAGCCCCTGCCTGCTGCACTGATTGCAGTGGCACCTCACCTATCTGTCCTCTTGTCACTGGCCACTGGCCTCTCTTTGATGCTTGCTCACTATGGAGTCTTCCAGGGCCAAGTTGGTAGGTGAAAAGTAGTTAAGAGCAGGGACACACAGATGACAACATACAGAACTTTCTCTAGAGTCATCTAAGGGCTATTTCAGGAAACCACCCCTAAGTGACACTGTGGGCAATAATTTGAAGAAAGACAGACAAGCTGCTGAGATGATCTGATGTCCAAAGGCATCCTGAGACCCAATCTCACCTGATAACTGAGGACCCCTCCCAGTTGAGGTCTGATGTACCCCACAAATGCAGCAAGGAGGGAAAGGGCTTATGACCAACCACGCCCACCACTGTCACTCCAAAACCTCCTGGTGAAAGGGACATGAAGAGACATGGTCTATTCAGAGTTTCCAAATTTGATTCAAAAAGAACTGAAAAGGAAAAGCATACGGGGCAATTACTGAGAGTGAAATGGCACGACCGCTGTGAAGACACTAAGTTTACACCCAGCACAGGACCAGCCACAGGCCCTAAGGACAGGAATACCTGCATCCACACAAAAAGTTGTACACTGACGTTCTTAGAAGCTTTATTCAAACAGCCCAAAACAGTTGTCCGTCACCAGAAGAACAGATAATAAGCCGGATGGAGAATGGGCATACACCACTCCACAACGGGAAAACAGAAACGGTCACACGCAAACCACATGGGTGAATATCAGAGACATGATGAAGGAAAAAGGCAGGCACCAGGGTGCACAGCGATGACTTCATGTGACGTTCAAAAGAACACAAAGAGGGTATCTTAAGAGGGAAGGGTTGATGGAGGGCACGAGGGGCTGGGAAAGGCACAGTAGTAGCAGTCTGTCAGGGATTCAATTGTCAGGCCTCGGAACCTATCACAACTCAGAATGGCACACTTAAGGTTTGTATATTCACAGTAGGTACATCTTTCCTCAAAAAAAAAAAGTTCCTCAAACAAATATTGAACTCTAAGTTATGTCCAGCATGCATGCTTAAGTGTTTAGAGGGAAGTGGATGAAAACATACTAATTTGAATACGTTCCACTAAAAAGATGGATTAGTGGATGACAGAAAAATGAATGGCAGTGAGATTAAGCAAACAACAAACTAATACCTACAGGATATGCAGTAAATACATAAATAGGGGCTAGGGAGCTGGGAGCATGGTTCATGTGGTAGAGAGCCTGCCTAGCAAGCATGAGGCCCTAAATTCAAACTCCAGTACTGCCAAGAAAAAAATATGCATACACACACATACACATGCATGTAATTTACTGTTTATTGTGCAATTTTTCTGTATTTTTGAAATTCTAAAAAATACTGACTTCCTAACATTGTGGATAAGCAGCTGAGCCCATCAGTTCTGGAGGACAAAGGTGAGGAGGACAAAGAACAGAGAAGGGGCGATCATCCTGAACCCTGGTGTTTCAGGGGCTTCAAGAAGCAACAAGTCTAGAGCTGATGGCTTACGCCTATAATTCCTAACTACTTGAGGAAGCAGAGATCAGGAGGATCATGGTTCAGAGCCAGCTTGGGCAAATAGTTTGTGAGATCCTATCTCAAAAATATCCAACATTAAAAAGTGCTGAAGCAGTGGCTCAAGTGGTAGAGCACCTGCCTGGCAAATGTGAGATCCTGAGTTTAAACCAGTGCCACAAAAGTTAAAAAAAAGAAAGAAGAGCAGCAGTAGGGCTAGAGGAGGACAGGTGGCTGCAGGGCCAGCAGAGGGAGGGGAGGGACAATGGGCGCAGAGTGAGGATGACTGACCTCCGTTTCTGATGGCCATGATCCCTTGGTGGAAGTCTTCGAAACTGATCGCGCCGAGCCCACTGGGATCCAAGTACTGGGTTAAGTCCTTCACCTGCAATGGCCAAATGAGAATGTTATGCACGGTCTTCCCAGATTGTGGCAGGGGCACAGTACGCTGGCCCTTTCATCATACACAGAGAAGCAGCACAGAGCTGAAACCAGAGCCACTGATTCCTCCAACCAAGGAGATAGAGGGAGTAACAGAACCACCACGCAAAGGGCAGAGGGGAGTCCTGGTGAGAAGCTGCCATCCAGCATGTAGATTATGAATAATGAAAATAACAGCCTGACTTTCAGAGCCAGCAGCTGAGCTGCCCAAGTAAGAAGACCAGAAGTTTTAGGCTTTTAGGAACTGCTCCAGCAAGTACCTAGAATATGTACCCACTCACACCTGCTCCAAGTCCCTAGTGGAAAATAACTGAGATAGCCAGGCGCCAGTGGTTCACATCAGTAATCCTAGCTACTCGGTTCAAAGCCAGCCTAGGTAAAGTTTCGAGAGACTCTACCTCACTAGGGAGGGGGTAGTGCGCACCACAAAAATGGGTTGGTGGAGTGGCTCAAGGTGTAAGCCCTGAGTTCAAACGCCAGTACCACAAAAAAAAAAAAAAAATGCTGATAAGCACATGAAAAGATCTGAATATCCTTAGTCCTGCAGGAAATGCAAAATAAAATTACAATGAGATATCACTCCCTAGAATGACTGCACTCAAAACAGGACTGGGGATGTAGCTCTATGGTACAGAACTCACATACATGTACCAAGCTCTGGGCAGGACCAAAATAAAAAAAAAAAAAAAACCACAAATCTGACAATGACAGTAGTAACAATTTTGGTAAGGATGTGAAGAACCTGGAACCTCACACCTTTCAAGGCCGTAAAGTAGTCGGGCTCATTTGGGAAAACACTAGTCCAGGTAGTTTCTTTTAAAAAGCTAAACATAAGCTTAGCATACAATCCAGCAACTCTGCTCTCAAGCCCAAGAGAAAGGAGAACAAGTCCACACAGAAATATATCGACAAATATTCACAGTAGCATTTTTCAAAACAGCCAAAAAACAGAAACAACCCAAGGATCCATCAACTGAGGAATGGACAAATAAAATGCGGTATACCCATAGAGTGGAATATTACTCAACCACAAAAGGAGTTAACCACCAAATACATGACAACAGGTTCATACAGTGAACCTTGAAAACACTGCTCAGCAAAAGAAGGCAGACATTAAAGACTACAGGTTACGTTATTCACATGCAGAAAATGTTCACCCTGGGACTGCAGGGTAGAAAAAGGAGAGGCTGCTTCTATGTGGAAACACAAAAACTAGTGATGGCTGCATGACTCTACACACTAGAAAATCCCTGACTGCACACTTACAGTGCGAGAATTTCATCAAACATAAATTATATTTCAGCAAAGCTTTTAAAACATAATACGGACATGGGAGGGGGAAGGTAAATAAAACAAAGAAGGTGAATATGGTTGATGTACTTTCTACACAAGTATGGAACTTGTATAGCGTATGGAACATCTGAACCTGTTGGAATCACCATAAGAAGAGAACTAAGGTCGAAAGGAGAATAACAGAGGGGATGAACCAATTCAAGGTATTTATTTATATATTGAGAGAGAGAGAGAGAGAGATCACAATGAAACTCCCTGTATAATAACCATCATAAACAACCAAAATGTCTTTCTTTTAAAAATGAAAGACAGGAAGGTAAAATAAGTCCTGTTCAGGGGTTGGTTACCAGTGGGAGAGGGGAGTGCATAAGGAAAGGGTGAAGGAGAGTGAATATGGTGGAAGTACTAAGTATCCATGCTGAAACTGTTCTAAGAAAGGAGGGATGGAGGGGGTGAATCTAACTAAGATATATTCCAAGTACTTTTGTAAATGTCACAATGTGCCCCAGTACAACCATAATATGTTAATCAATAAATAAAAGGAAAAAAAACATAAACGGACATTAAGAAAGAATCAAGAGAGTGATACATGTTGAAGTAAGGCAAACAAGACCCAACAGAAGTCTGAGAAGATAACTGAAGCACAGACACAAAGCAGATACTTAAATTACATTATTAAAAAAAAGATCTTTAGGCCGGGCTCTGGTGGCTCACACCTGAAATCCTAGCTATCAGGAGGCAGCAGGAGGATCGCAGTTTGAAACCAGCCTGGGCAAATGGTTCAGGAGACATTATCTCAAAAAAATATCCATCACAAGAAAGGGCTAGTAGAGTGGCTCAAGGTAAAGGCCCTGAGTTCAAACCCCAGTACACAAAATAAATAAATACATAAATAATAATAATAATAATAATAAAAGTCTCTAGGATTAAAAAAGAAAGTTAACTACATACTGAAATATGTCAGGTACAAAAGATATCAACTCCCAACCACAAAGACTTACTGCAAGACTTTCTTGGATTGTAAGAAAAAAATTTTACTCCTTTAAATAGCTACAAAAAAATCAAGTAACTTTTATTAAAGAAGGGAAACTAAATTACCACTTAGTAATAGTCTTAACTCTTAACATTCTAAGTGCTTTCGGAACTGGGACCCTCAACATGATGGAAAGGAGAGAAACTCCTAAGACTAAATCCTGTCTCAGGCCATTTGTGCTGCTGTAACAACGTGCTATCGGCTGGGTGATTTATAAGGAACAGAATATCTACTTCTCACAGCTCTGGAGGTGGGAAGCTGACATCCAATGTCTGGTGACAGCTCTTACTAGGGAAAGAACAGCAGGAGCGAACTCCTCTCTTTCATTAGGGCTTTGTCAGTCTCTACCCCTTGACCCTAATGACTCACCTCCTAAAGGGCCCCCTCTCAACACCACAACAACAGTGATTAAATTTCAACATATTAATTTTGGGAGGACATTCATATCACAGCAGTCTAATTCTGAATTTAAGTGCCACTCAGAATGTGCTTTAAAAAAATAAAGGCTTTTTCAGTTCTGTTCACTCAAAACAGCCCGAAGGTCAGAAATGAAATTTTCAGAAATCTGAATGTTGATTGACTATTTGATGACATTAAGGCACTGTGGTTAGTTTTTGCAGCTGTAGTACTATTTTAGAATTCCTCAAAGAGCATTGTTTTTTAGATATACTTACTAAAACATCTGAAGATACCTCAAAAGTAAACAGCCTTGGGTTGTACTATTTATATTTCATTTCCCACTTAAAGAAACTAGGACCCTGGAGAGATGCTGGAAATATGTGAGTTGAGTAGGGGTCCACTGTCACTCATGAGAACAGAGAAGCTGTGGAGGACAACTGTTGGGGTACATCAAATGGATCCAGGTGTCAACATAAAGAGGCTTGCTAGCTGGACACCTGGGCACCAGTGGGTGACACCTATAATCCTAGCTACTTGGGAGGCTGAGATTGGGAGGACTGAAATGAGGTGGGGTGAGGTGGCTTCCACAAGCCAGAAAAGAGACAAGTGAGCACAGTAAGAATGATAACCACAAACACATAAAAAAATGCTTCTACCATGAGGACGTGATTAGGGTAAAGAAAGAAGTTCACTGCTAGAAAATACCAGCAAACCACGGATGTGAAAACTAGCGAACAAAAGCAAAGAGCTCAGCATCCACTCTGCCTGTCTGTGCAAACTGCAGCACTTGACAACCCAGCATCAGACAGGGCCACACGGGACCTCCTGACAGACGCATCTGCCACAAAAGGAGGGAGCGGCAGCCAAACAACCCCACTTGCAACCCTGAGCTGCTTATCAAGCACAAGGACTCAGGTAATCAGACGTCACAACACAGGAAACACAGACACCAAAGAAACACCTCTTGATATCCAAGGGGCGTAATCAGCAAAACCTCTATTTCTTCAGGGCTGGCACTGTCTTGGCTGAGGCCATATCCACTAATTACCAAAGTCCACAGTCCCCAGGTCAGCATGGGTAGCACGGCACCCACCTTCCTAGACAAGGAGGCCCTGTCCAGGAAAAGGGCAGCAATAGGGTCTACCCTAGTGCTAGCCAGGATGAGGGGAGGATTGAGGGGACACACAGGGTGTCAGTGAGACACAACCAGGTCTGGGAGGACAGGGCAGTAACCTCACTCATGGGCACATCTCATGAGCATCAAGTAAGGTCTCTGCTCCTCCTCACAAAGGAGCTCCAAAGGGAGTCACTGCCTTTGCTTCACAGCTACATCTAGGAAACCTCAGGTCCAACAGGGAAGGACAGAAAGATCAGTTTGGATCACAATGACCCAAACTGGAAGCAAGGAGAAAGGTTTCAGAGGTACAGCTGCAAGACAAGGGACAGACAGCTGAAGGCAGAAGAGCAAGAATGGAGGCCATCTGCCCCATGGAGATGAAGGGTGAGGGAACAGGGCAATCAGACCACCTTAACCTGAGTTTGAAGCCAGTATCAATGAGGACAGTAAGGGGCTGACAACCAAGGGAGTGACTGCTCAAGTCGAGACAGACAGGTGGAAAAGCAGGGGGGTGGAGGCAGAACCCTGAAGAACAGCCAAGTGAAGAAGCAGAAAGAGAGCTAGACAGCAGCAGAAACACAGCTGTCTCCTCTTGGGACTGCAGTGGGATATCAAGAAGGTTGCTCAATGACCTATCACATTACCTGGACCCAGAAGTCAAGATGTAATCTAGAGAATCTAGACTCAAGGGCACCAGAAAAAGGAGACCCCAAGAGGACCAGACCACCATGTTACCCCCACCATCTGTCGTTGCAACATCAAGTCAGACTTACAGAGGACCAGCCCTAGCTGGGCTCGCAAGCCCTCCACAATGGCAAAATGGCAGACACTGTCCCTCAATCCAAGGGTTAGTGTGACACTGGGCCATTTAATCGGCCAATTTCTTGTAAACAACTGAACCAGTTATCAAATGCTATCCTTCTTACATCTCATAAAAGCCTTTATTCCTAAAGCATATGGTGCCTAGAGAGAGTCTTCTTCATGAAGAGTTATCTGATACAGAACCCACTCCATACTTGAAATGCCTAAGAATTTCAACAACAAAGCTACTAACAGAACACAAAGTACCAGTGTTCATTCTGAAACCCTAATCAAATACTTT